CTACACAGCAACACACCTTTTTGGTATAAAATCGAGATGACACAGGCATGTGCTTTTGAACGAATCAGTCTTTTTTTTTTACACAGCTCGTAATATACAGACATTTCAGGCACTACTTGTGACTTCTATTTATACATTACTTGCTCAGTGCCTGTAATTATCTACACTACACAAAACCTTGTGTTTGCTATAAAGAACACTCGGATTCAACGAGATTTTAGGTCAGGCCCAGCGACCTCGTTGAATCCGAGTTCCACTTTAATGTTGATCGGGGCGTTAAATTTAAATTTAAAGAGTTATATTCCATACACTTACTTTTTCTGATTTGTTCAACAGGAGGACAAAAGCCCATTACCGGACGGAACCGCAGAGCACAGTGGCTGTGTGTTTTGCGACCCTGTGTTCAAGCCCCTAATGGAGAAACACCATGCAGCTGCCATGAGAAGGGGCCCTGGTGGGAGGTCTTCCCGCGGTGGGCGTGGGAGAGGGGGGCGTGGCAGGGGGAGAGGAAGAGGAAGGCCAAAACCAAAAGACAAGATGGCACAGCTGGCAGCGTACTTTGTCTAGGAGGGATGGTGGTTTTGTCTCATTTAGTTTAACTCGCTACCTTAGAATTACAAAGTTCTATCTGCTTAGTACTTAGTTTTGAGAAATTTGATGTTAAAACTTTTGAATTTCACATGTCAAGCTTTTTCTAATGCAATTCTTTGAATATCTTTATAACAACTCCAAATAATCATATGATTTCCCATAGAGCAGATAGGACACTTGGTGTCTTGTTTGAATAAAGAGAAGAAGCACATCGACACTATAATGGTCATTTAGTGCTGGGAAAAAGTAAGACAGACAAATGAACAGAGGGAAAGTAAAGAAATAGGACCTACCGGTGGTGCCCTCCAACCAATCGTTCATTTGGTGTCTGACCTCATGGTCTTAATTCAAAACAGTCAAAAATGTTAAATAGAACTTTGTACGGTAGCGAACTGTCCGTATCAGTCATCATCATCGACGGCTGGGGTTGGAGGAATAGAGGGTGGTCTGAAGGACAGTGTATGTTACTCGATTTAGGAAATATAGATATTTTTTTCTTTTTGGTCTACTTCAAGGATGTATGACAGTTATAATTATTCTTGCACCCTACATCATGTATTTACTCTAGTCTATTAAAATAAAATAAACTAAAAAAGCAAAAGATACAAGAAGAGTTATACTATTCTTGTATGTTTAATAGCTGATATAAAAAAGAATGTTGCACCATTTAATTTTAAAAAATAAATTTTTGGCCTCTCGTGTAAAATAAACTGTCTCAGTTTCCACCACTGTGTGCATACAAACATGAGTGACAAGTTGGTACAGACATGAGTGACAAGTTGGTTGCCCTGAAAGGATTACTTTGAATTAAATGTAATGTTAGCAGTTTTAGTGTTCCGTATATAATTACATGTACCTTCAGATAGCTTTGTTATAGTTCAAGTAATAAAAACTTGGTCATAATTTGTTTTGTGTTTGTATGTTTAAACAGGAATGTTAATCCCCCCCACATACACACAGGCCTACTACTAGTACTACACACGCACACATACAGGAATCAGAGCACAGAACCTTTGCCCCCACAAATCTTTTACTTTGTACAAAATACAACCAGTAACAGATACCGGTAACTCAAAACATATACATTGTAGAGGATTAGCAAAGTATTGTACAACAAGCTATCCATGAGTTTGAGTTAAATCTGTGTTTGTTCTAGTTATCTGTGCCCAACTGTATGAGGGAAATTGGAGTAGAAATGCATGTGCCTTGTTTATTTTGTACTCCCCACTGACTCAAAATCAAAATAATCCAAGCATGGATAGGCCACATCACTTCACAAATGCATTTCAATTCAAGAAAGGATTGACTTGTACTTAAACCATTCTTCTTACTTATACTATCTTACTTGCGAAGTAAAACTGACCAAATCAAACCTGTGCTCTGAACTAATGTGAATACAAAATTTACAACCAATTAGTGTCTCGCTCGCTCGTATAACTGACCATAATATGCACTTTTGAGCGCTGTAAAACTTTTATCAAACTGAAACAGAATTGATGCACCCAGGTGACTTGGTTGCCTCATCTAAGGGACTGAGAAAGGGAACCTCATGAGTGTCTTGGAAAGGGAGACCTTGCTGAACTGCGATGCAGATGTTCAGAATCAGATGACCTTTTTTCAAATTATTTATATAAATTACATACGGGCATAAACAATTTTTATGTAGTGTTTTTACACCCCCATCCACACAATTTAAATCATGTAGGAGGCTGACATATCTGGGTCAACTCAGACTGAGAGGAATGCATCACAACACCCACCCCATCCCCCAGTAGCTAGACTTATGCCTGTAACGGGAACATGACTGAATGAAAAGTAGGCACTGGGCGCTTGATCTGCTACAGATCTAAACATAGTATAGCACGGATAGCTCAAATGCGTCGGACCAGCTTTGGTAGTACGAGGGATATAATCTTACAAAGAAAAGAAAAAAGGGGACCGCATGCGCAGTTCGGCGGATGCGTGATTTTTTACCTCCCGTGTTACACTGTGTTCCTTTTCCTGACTGTGGCAACTGTAGACTATACTACAATACAAATATGTATTAGCATTACTTAATAATTACTATCACGAATAGTTGTAATTGTGATACATATAATTTTATTTCACGATCTGGTTATGCATCTCTAATGCAATTCAAATGATCTCTAGTCAACGTCCCGAGACCAATTAGATCTAGGTACTAGAACTAGAACAAGAAGGAAAAAACAAGGATGAGGAGCAAATATCGCTGGAAAAGATTGGAAATCTGTTTCCCACGAGGGTTTGGAGAATTCGGCCTATATTTCAAGAATTTGCCCGATATTGAAAATGCTATAATTTTTAGGCTGTGGTCAATATTTTATTTTCAACTGACAATTATACAATTGCCTGAAGTAACTTCAAAGGAACTGAGCCACATCAAACTGTCGGCAAAATATCTGGTGTTGCCAGATATCACAATAATACAACCCTGATGACCTGATCAAAAGACAGGTGGGCACTCGTCAGGCTTTTGTCTTTTGAGGACTCGCGCTCAAGTGTTCGTGAAAGATCTGCAGAGTCTGAGGCAGCCTGGGGATTATCGGGTAATTTTAAATAAAACCCAAAGTCCGTCTGCAAGGTCCTGCCCTAGGCTGTCATAGATAAACTAATAAAGCCTACTCTAAGCGAATAAAATAAATGGTGGGTGTGGAAAAGAGGTCCAAAATCAATAAAACGGGGGGTTGGGACAAGTGGTGCGAAATTAATAAAGGGTGGGGGGGGGGCACATTCAATCTCATACCCCGGTACTACTAGCAGTCAGGAACAAATTTGTTTATTTCTCCTTCAGTGAATAAAAGAAGAGATCATGAAATTTTAGTGACTTTAGTAAGTTACTGTGACAACTTTTCAGGAACAATCCAGTTTCATTTTAAAAAATATAAACCTATGTACAAAAGTTTTAAACATTTTTAATGCACAGAAAATTGGTTGCTTTTACTTTTAAGCAACAGGAGGCTATCTCGAAAAACGCTGTTTTGAGAAAATCAAAGGTAAAGTTTATGCCCCTTGGCCTTGTTCATTTTCATTGAAAGACAAGGAGAGTTTTCTCTATACCGGTAACCAAACAAATACATGTACATGCACACCAATGAAACCAAACTTCACCTCTAAAGGTAGGGCAATGCCCACTTTTGGTGTAGGTCAAGATTTCCGGAAACCCCCAAAATCTGGGATAGCCCCAAGGAGTTTACAGTAGTTCTAAGCTCCTTGGATGGATAGTCCGCTTGTCCGTTATCGGTAGTAATACTAATAGGCTACTACTAATACCAGGCGTGGTTCGTCCATAGACATTTAGAGCACGGCCGTGCAGTGCCGCCCAAAAATGTTTAATGTTCTATTACGTAAAACACCCACAATAATGAAATAAAAGAAGCCAGAAACAAACAATAGCAAGATGTATCAAAACAAGGTCCTCACTGGCGCCATAAATAACTGTCATTTCTGTGTCTATAGCGCCGTAAATATTACTATGCCATGCCAAAGTCCATGTTCTTTAGCTCAACAGTTTTTTAATAGGATATTCAACAGTTTAACCTGACCTATAAATTCGCTCTTGGGGATAACCCAAGCAATGACGACACTCGTAGCGAGATTGGCGGTACATTAATATGGCACATCTCAAATGTGCTCCTGCCGAAGAGTGCCAAAACATAGCCCACAGTGTCAGTAGGCAGTCTAAAAATAAACGAGAAAGACCGTACGCTATTCTTTGCCAATATTATGTGAGCCCCGGAGCAATCCGGCGGAGTGCTCAAGTGAATTGTGATTGGTTCATTTTCTGTCTTGCCACTATTTTAAGTGACTGTGACAGTGAACCTGAGGGAGGTGAACGTGACCGTCCTATGAATTGTGCCTTTGAAATGTTTTGTAGTGGAACAGTGAAAGTTATTACTTGAGTGTTCAGTTCCAATACAGGATGAACGAAATCGATGTTTAGCTAACAAACAAATTTAATACTAGAAATCAAAGCGACAAGTAAAAAGAATGAAAGTAAAAACAAGAGGTCCTCCCACACCAACCCAAAGACTCTAAAATTATACACCGTCTCATTTATTAGGCCTATCTTCAGCATGCGATAGCTTAATTGTGCACGTCCACTTTTTAGCCCCACAAGCCGCCCCTGGCTAATTTTATTCCCCAGTCAGCTCGGGGAAGGACGAAAGAAGAAGGAAGAAAGACGATAGAAGACAGACGCTACACCAAAGCAAGTGTCGCCCATGTACAATGAGCGTAAATGTCCATGGGCGACAAATCGCCAGTGAAGGCCTGAAGGGGTTGCACCTCCTGCTGGCGGAGCAGTGGGTCTATTTCCCCCCGACCCATCCAAGTTCTCGTTGAATCAGAGTTCCACAACAAGATTCAACGAGGTCGCCAGGCCTGACCTAAAATCTCGTTGAATCCGAGTGCTCGTTATTATAGTATAGTATAAATAATATAAGGTTTTGTGTAGATAATTACAGGCACTAAGCAAGTAATGTGTAAAGCGAAGTAACAAATAGTGCCTGAAATGCCTGCATATTATGATGTGTAAAAACAAAGACCTATTCGCTCAAGTGCACATCTGTGTCATCTCGATTGCCAAAAAGTTGTGTTGCTGTGTAGAGTCTAGCATACGGCAACTTTTGATTCCATAGACCAGCGCACAATTCATTACGTAGATCTACCGTCTATGTCAAGACTAGCTTATCAATTATCATTGTAATTATAATGATCAGTTGCCGAGGGGAAAATAAAGACTGACGTGTTTGCATTTGCGACGTTCAATGCCCGGACCACTGGTGCCCCCCCCCCCCCCTCCCGACACGCACACAGCCACACGTGTGCAGGTCGCCCATCCGACCCCGACACAAGCTAGAGTAGACAAGTGCGCGTGCCAACAACGCATGTGTTGGTATGAAAAAAGGCCGCAAGCAATTGGCTAAGTGAATAAACATACACCATGCAGGAGCAATGGAAGGTTTCCGGGAATAAATAAAGTTCGTTCTGGGAGAAAAATGAGCGAAGCCACGTCGGCGGGGCTGTTCATCATGGAAGCGACCTTGTTGAATCCGAGCTCGCTAATTTAAGTGCTCGTTGAATCCGGGTTATTTTTATTGATTTTAAAGAAGAAAAAAAAACGTGGAAATCTTATCTATCTCCTCTCGTTGAATCAGAGTTCCACTGTACAACTTTTTGGCAAACAATCGAGATGACAGGCGTGCATTTGAACCAATTGGTCTTTTTTTTTGCACAGCTCATAATATGCAGGAATTTCAGGCACCACTTGTTACTTCCCTTTATACATTACTTGCTCAAAGCCTGTAATTATCTACACAAAACCTCATATTTGCTATAAACGAACACGACTCGCATTCAACGAGATTTTAGGTCAGGCCCGGCGACCTCGTTGAATCAGAGTTCCACTGTGCCAGGAGTAGCACCAATTACAGTAGAATGGCTATTGCGGGACTTTGGGTTGCAGAACAAAAATCCTGCTGCAGGCAAGTTCCCAGAATAGGAATGCAAAGGGGAATTACCGAAAAACCACACACTACACGCTCACTCTCCTCTTCCTTTACAGTCTTTTTGGCCTAGCCTAAGGCTATGGTACATCACTTTTGGAGAGGCTCAACATGTTTCTCCGCACCATCTCTCTCAGCCGCCAGCCAACTCACTCATCACTGGACTGGCCAATCACAACGCCACACCGCTGACTGCCCTGCTCGTTTGGAGCCAACCTATAGCCCCCCACCCGTAACTGAGCTTGCTCGATCTCTCCCACTGTGTCCAAGTTTGGGCCTTTCCTTGCCCCACTAAACCCGAGCAGAGTTAATTGAGTTTACATAGACAAAAAAAGTGATTCCGGAAAGGTCCCGCTGCAGCAGGTGCCGCTTTAGTCATGTTCTACTGTAAATCCTTCTAAATGAAATATAAACTAACAACTGTGCGGTGATATCTCATTTAAAAAATAAGGTAATGTAAGTGGTTTAGTTTAGTTTTAGTAGAGGGTTTTACAGAACTCGCAACTGCAAAAGGTCATATGAGCGCCAGAAGATTAGAGGTGCTACAAGAGAGTAACAAACATAAAAAAGAAGAAGGGGGAGATAAGGACGATAGATGTTTGATAGGAAAGAAAAAGCAAACCACACCAGAGCACCCGCCAACCACCCACTGTAAATTTTAAGTTGTTGGACCTCCGAAAATCAATGTACATAGACTAGAATAGGACGAAAACGAGATTCATCACTTACAGGCCCGTATCCCCATTGTTTCAAAAACAAAAAACAAACACACAAAACAAAAATTTGGTTTTTCTTCATTTATTTACTCAGAAATTCATTCCTCTGGAATTTCAATATCACCACTGTCAATCTTTTCGATGACTGTGTGAGGGGCCATTTTGTCAATAGTGCAACCAATGGACTGAGCAGTTCCTGTGGATGAACAACAAAAGTCCAATATTAAAAAACTATCCAATCATTCAAACAAATTACATAATCAACAACACTGACCAAAAATACCTCAAACTTGCAGGGACAGTGCTTCCACCAGCTGAAACTGAAAAGTAAGGAAAATTCTGCCGGGGGTCTGGGGGCCGCAGCAGGGTACAGGGACAGCGTCCCGGTAGGGGATAAGGGGGCCGAAGAAATAGAAATTTAGTGCTTTTAGAGGGCTGAAAATGGCATTTGGGAGCCTGTTTGAAGAGATTGCCTACAAACCATAACATTTTTTCACCAACAATTTATCTTGTTTGATTTCTTCACCTACATATCCTCGCATTGCTGGCAATGTTTAAAAGCAGGTTCCCCTTCCATTGCTACTATAATTCAATTAATTTGTCATCACACCACTGATAGAAGGCAAACCTGGGAATAATGAATAGATATGTACCTTCACAATACAGTTACCCGGCATATACCCTAATTTTCCTTAAATTTCAAGTCCGAATGTCGCACGTCACAACCTCGGAATACCACTTTGAATTATTCTTGATGTCAGTAGTTTTATGCTGGGTTTAGCATAAATTTCTTTCATCGCGGCCTTTATCCTGTTCCTGTGCTGTAGAATCTTCGTATTGATCATTTCTCTAGATCTAGACAAATTTGTTAAAAAGTTTCTTTCTGACAGTTATTTTCTATCTAAGATCACAAGTCAATTTACTAGATCAACGTGCAGATTTTCCAGCCGCGGCAACAATCCGAAGATAGACGGAATGAGTGAATGATAGAAAGGAGGAAATTGGCACAAAAAGTCTGCCATATTTTGATTAATCCACAGGTAAAAATGTACTGCCGACCAACCCGCAATGAATGCATAATGTGGCATAGCGGAATAATAGCCGATTGCAGGAAATGCGCTATCTGGCAGGTTTCTATAACTTTTAACTTGTTGCCGAGGGAATTACTGTAAATATCTGTAACATACTAGTACTAGACGATACGAAGGCGATTACGGATCTTTTGCTACGGAATTTCGGTAGCCCTACGCTGTCGCAGCTTTATACAGAGGGAGTTGATAATGATGGAGGAAGAAGTACGGAAATGGCAGAAAGTATGGATTTCCGTAAAAATACGGAAAAGTGGAAGCACTGCAGGGAATACTCTTAACACACTTGAGTCTGGGGTATTTGAGAAAACACAAGCACTGGAGCCTTTTTTTGTGTGTAGATTATCAAAAATGCACCCCCCAAAAAACAAAACAAAAATACCCCCCAAAAAAACACCCTAGTCTCAGAAGGCTAGGTGTAGATCTTTCCAACTAGAAGATCAGGGGTGTGGTTGAAAGACAGCAGTCAGAAGGAGCCATGGAGAAGAAGTGGAAAGGCTGCAGAAAGAGTCAGGAGCCCAGGGGGGGGGGCCCAAAAAGTGGAGATGAAAGCAGACGACAATATTGCTGGAGAGCAGGAAAGATGGAGATAGAAGACAATTTTAGAGAAGAAAATTTGTTCAGTTGCTACCCGGATTCGAACCTGGGACCTTTGAATGAGAGGAGAACACTTTAACCTCTAGGCCACGAGAGCCCCCACAAAGAAATTTATTAGAAATTGTATTATGATCTTTCAAAAATGGGCCCAATTTGACCATGCGCAGAAACTTTTTTATAGGCACTTATCCAAGCTGAAGGGGAGTAAATTTATAGAAAAAAGCTCGATTTAGGTGAAATTGAAAACAAAATCAACAAAGTACATATCCAAGTTTTCTAAAGCAGAAAATTATTTCTGAGTGAAAATTTTAAAAGACCAGGGTTCAATGCAATGGAATGTAACAAGGTGCACAGCTTTGATGTCTCCTTTCTATTGTGCGTTTTGTCTTGCCAGGCTGACTTGCACGAGATCTAATGCCTTATTTAGTTGTACTTTGCCACCTTAATCTACTCCTGTTCCTGTACTGAAGGATTAGGATCAACGAAATTTTTTTCTTCTGTTTACGTCGCAGGTCTAACTCTAGTACTAGACCTAGGTCTAAGTTTGCCCGTCAGCTCCCCTATGTGCAATTGCCAGTACTAGTGCTTGGTCCCTTGTTTCACATTCTAAACGTTTATTCTCAGCTAATCCACTACTAATTGTAAACTCTGAATTTACAGAGTTGCAGCTTTCAATATCTTCTAGTGCTTTTGTCTCGCCATAATGAACTCCAACTCCATGACCACAGTGGCGGGAGGAAAACATTGCGGACCTGTTGATATGAGCGTGCAAAATCATCTGCTGCGCAAAAAACTACTTTTTGTAAACAAGACTAGATCTGAAAGGAAATTTCGAACAAATTAAACTTGCAGAGGCGTTTGCCGCCACTTGCGCAGTGAATTAGAAGCAATGTAATGTTTTTAATATAAACCTGAAAAGGGGAGCGGGAAAAGACTTGTGTCATCAGGGTTTTACTGTAGTTTGTTCAGGACAAAAGAGTTTGCCTCTTTTATGGCAGTCATTCAACGTATTCTCCACAGCTGCAAACATTACACATCTAACACTGTGCTATAGAAAGAAAATGACAATATACTAACCAAGAACTTCTTTGCAGGTGCCACCCAAGACTTTAGCCATACTGCGAGGACGCATCTGTCTGGCAATCTTGATGATGTCGTCAAGGGTGATGTTTCCACTGTGTTTCACTGTAGAGTAGTAAGACAAGAACATGTAATGTCAAAAAAAATTTTTTTTAAATGACCCCTTGAACCAAAGAGCTCACAGACTGCCGATACCCCCACTGTATCAGTAGGCCTAGACATAGAATCGCAAAACCCCAACTCCTCTCGATTTGTTTTTATACTATTTGCAGACTCAACAAGGCACACCAATATCAGATCGTCACAAAATTGACAAAAAATGCTTAGATCGACATTACATTGAAGTTATCAAAAAAAAGACAAAACGTCATAAGTTGCATAGCTGCCATTCAGGAATTTCAAAAAAGGAGGAAATTCACGCAAAGGCGTACGCGCTCTCTCCGAAGGCATGAGTAAAACCAACATGATGCTCGAAGTCTATAATTCATGTTGTTCACTTTCACTTTCAACTTGTGCAACGATGTAGAGCAGTGTTGGATTAAGTAGGCAACACCTTTAATACTGTACAAGATTTCCTTACGGCACAAAACACAAAGTGCAGCACCCGGCTTGTTCAATTTTCTAATGAACTGTTGGAAGTCGCACACCGTCTGCTTCTTTCTCAATCCAGCTCCAGTTCTATTTATTTTTGCATTCTGCTTCAATTTCTATCGTATTTCTGCTGTTTTCAATGACAACTAGGCGCGCCATCGTCTCGATTGACACTGTCACACCATAATGAACGTGAAATTTCAGCACCAGGCACAGAACGGAAATAGGAAGCTACGGGGGGACATGCGCAAGCCGCGTTTTCGTCTCACTCCTGGTTCAGTGTTTTCTGCAGGTAAAAAAAGGTATCACAATTTGCTACCGAGAGTGGTCCCAGTGGAGGAAGGAGGAAAGAAGCGGGAAATGCTAGATGAAGCAGAGTTTGCACTATTTAGCAGAAAAGAGACAAGTCAGCTATGAAATTTAGAAACAGAACTAAAATCAAATGAGAGATCACTCTGTTTTTGTAGAGGTTGTACGGTGCTCGCAACTGCATAAGGTCATATGAGCCCCAGAAGATTAGAGGTGTTACAAGAGAGTAACAAACATAAAAAAAGAAGGGGAGATACGGACGATAGATGTTTATAGGAAAGAAGTAGCAAACCATACCAGAGCACCCGCCAACCACCCACGAGGGGTCACTCTCCCACAATGATAGAAGCATGCTGCTGAAGAAGATGATACAACCTTTCAACATAATACTCATAAGAAAACCAAGTGAGGACCCAGTAGAAATGTTCCAACCAGCTGTTATTGAATTAAATTTGATAAAAAGGAAAGGAAAAACCAACCCCCACCTCCCCTAGCCAACAAATAAGAACAAGACTAGATCTAGATCACATTCAGCACCCAAGAGAGTAAACCGCCAATTTATTTCTTAGCTAAAGCCGTCACCCACCGGTCAACCTGCATAAAGTGGAAAAGAGAGGCAAAACCGAAACTGCTGTTCACCCAACCCTCATCATAACAGCTGCCTCGCATAGACAACAAGACCGCCGGCTTCTCTAACAAATGAGAACTGGTGGAAAATTGCCCAAGCTGAAATTGTACCAACACAACATCACGCCAGCAGACAACCCAAGTCCATCCTGTCTAGTCTGCAAAGGAGAAGATGAGACTATGGACAATGTATTCCTGAAGTGTCCTGCCAACTATTGTGTCAAAACATCTGCTGGGACATTTCAGTGACCCACAATCAGAACTATTCAAGAACCCTCAGGCGTGTTGTCAACATTGCTGACTACTTATGACGTCACAGTACCAGAAGGAAAAGAGAGAAAAAGAGCAAACAAAGGCAGTAACCCCTACCTCCCCATCATGAATTACAAATAAAATTTCAATGGAAGAAGATAGTTGTAGTACAACAGCCAGATGACTCACCGTGCTTGACCTTCTTTCTGTCACGGGGAGGTTCCTTCAGAGCTCTGATGATCAAGGCAGCAGCACTAGGGACAACCTCTACCTTGGCCTGTCTGTTCTGCACAATGAGTTTCACTGTGATCTTCAGACCTTTCCAGTCAGCTGTGCCCTTCTGGATGTCATCACCAATTTTCTTGGGGGACTGAAAGCAAAGCCAAGTATTTTCTTTCACTTTGCAATGTGAAGATAACTTTGTAATTAATAACTAAACATCTTTTTCATTTTCCAAAATTTTACCTCAGGCTCCTGGGGTGTGTGTGTGTGTGTGTGTGTGTGTGTGTGTGTGTGTGTGTGTGTGTGTGTGTGTGTGTGTGTGTGTGTGTGTGTGTGTGTGTGTATTTTACGCACACACACATTAAGCGTATTTGGACACTCTAGCTTTCCAGCAGGGCCCAATTCAGCACGACCTTGTTTGGCTTAAGCATGCTGAGCATCTCAGGCTCCTGTACTTCTACAGCTCAAGTGTGTGTTCATCAGTCTGCTTGTGTGCGTGGCCTACTTCGTACCATCCCCATTGGTTTAAAACCAAGGTATACGTCTTGTTCAAAACATGTAAAGTTGGTAGCTCTTGATATTTGTTCCATGAAATTTCAACAAATTGACCCACTTAAGACATAGGAACTCGAAAGGAACAAGACTTACACTGTTCAATGAAAAATTAAAGATTGTGTCAAAACTGGTAGTATTCCTAACTAGGTAGGCCTACAACTTTGTGTGCCACTTGTCCCCATCAGGAAACTAAGCTCAGAAGAAGTATTTCAGGAAGGAGGAGAAACAATCAGAGTGGGTTGAGCTCAATGATTCAGAACTTTGAAATGGACCATACATGATGACTTTCATAACTGACCAAATTGTTCTTAGACATCTTAATTTCCACTTACCAGACCAAGAGGGCCAATTTTGGGGGCAAGTGAAGATGTAGCAGGCACTTCACCACCTACAGCTCTGCAGTAAACTGAAATATAAAATAAAATTTACACAATCAGCAAATTTTCCATTATGAAGATGCAACAGAAAGTGCATTGATTTGACTGAAACAACCCTCTAAAATTAACTAATTTTGTGTAAAGCTTGCAACAAGAATCACCTCAGCTCAGATCAAAATGGCTTGAAACAGCAATGACATCTTCATTTGTCGATAAGATGGGGAAAAAAATAGTCATCACAGCCAAGGCAAAACTTTCTCACCACAACTTTCACTATGTACTACTTCCAACAACAAAAAATTCCTGTAATAAAAAAGATTTGGTAAAAAAAACAACCTAAAAACAATTTCCTTTTTCATAGCCTGCTTTTGACTATCAGTTCAGAACAGGACAATGGGCTGACAAATGCACAAGTATACGAGAAATTGAGGACTGTCTAGTCTGATTAACCCATAGAACATTGCACCTATAAATATAAACACAGAAAATTATAAGGAATGCCAATCTCAGAGGTGTCACACTACGTGAACTAGAGCCGCTTATTGAACATTTTTTTAACTTGGAAGCTCTTCAGAGACCCTTGCATTTGTAAAGATATTTGGCATCACCATAAAGTTAAGAATGGGGACAAAGATTATCAGTGAAATAAATACACAGAACTTCACTAACTGGAAAAAAACCCTAATCCAAATTGTTTCAAACCTGGACCTCAAATGTGGGAAACAAAATAGATCCAACCAAATATTCAGGGTATTTCACTAGACCTTGGAAAAGATTCACCTCAACTCAGATTAAAATGGCTTGAAACAGCAGCAGCATCTTCATTTGTCGATAAGATGGGGAAAAAAATAGTCATCATAGTCGAGGTGCAATAGATATTTTTTAAGCTGCAGCGTACACTAGTCCCCACAAACTTAGTAAAGAGAAAAATAACACAGTAATTTTAGTAAGTCAGACAGCGCTGGGGAAAAAAACAAAACAAAGGGAAACTAGAAGTTGGACATACCATTGGTTCCCTCCAATCAACCACTACACTTCTTAATTTTACAAAACCTAACATGGATAAAAAGCGCACAATGTAAACATCCCAAATAATCATGATTCTCAAGTGTTTTGATGCTGTGGCTTTATTTCAACCACCTGACCCACCTCCATCCCAACATGACAGTACTAAAATTAAATTAAATTGGTACTGTCAAAAGATGTATTATTACTGAGCAACAATGACAGTCCATGGGACTTAATATCACCAGAACATTCAGAAATTGTGTTACGTCACAAAAAAACACAGGACAGCCTACCCAGCAAACTGAGACATATGGTCTTCTGGGCTTCAGAGCAGTGCTACAAGGTTTTTGTTTTATAATTCCAAACTGAACTTTTTCAAAGGCACTGTATACACTGCCACATAAATGTTATCCCCTGCGGTTTTTTCACAATATTAGCCTTTCACAAGAAGAATCACCTTGACTCAGACAAGAATGGCTTGAACAGCAATAATATCGTCATTTGTCGATAAGATGGGGAAAAAAATAGTCATCACAGTCAAGGCGAAATTGGGGACTTCATTTTTGTGTGTGTGTGTGTGCTACTGCTAGTATTCAAGTAAAAAACTAAGGACAATTATCACAATAGAAGCATTGTAAGGATAAGTCAGTACACGTATACAGCAGACTACTGTATGGACCCTAAAATCAACCATGAACTCCATGGCTGCAAAAACTACCTGATGACACATGGACCACCCACCTTCCAAAGTAAACAATACAAAATAAATTTACATTTAAAAATCCGAAGTGACTATTTCTCCGAATGTTCAGGAAATTAAACTTGAACTTCTCCTAACGGTTTCTGTTCTCAAGATTTTTTCGTTATTTGCATAGATGTACACGAGATTTAGGCGTCATCTTTCATTCTGCCATTTCTGCGAGGACTGGGAGGAAGCATTTTTAGAGCTAGAGATTCATAAACGTCTGAATATTCAGATACTTCCTTCAGTTGTGGTTGGGGCAACGTTCTCGGACTAGATCTAAACTTTATTTGAAAATACCTTCAAAAGGTACGGCGAGAAAACAAGACTGATCAACCTTGACAGTAACGTTTTGCATTTAGTCACTTGAAAAATACTAAAATCCTTCATGTAAAAAAAAAATCCCTATAGCCCCCACCCCCCCCAGGCCACTTCATTCGCAATTATCAACAAATCCCGAGAACAGAAACCATCCAGAGAAATAGAGCCGGCCTTTAAAATCTGGCTAAATGTACACAACTTTAAAAGTGGTACTCACACAAAATATAAGTTTTTTAAAAGATTTCAATCTCAAGCATTTCCTGCTGTTATGGCAGGGTAAACAATGTCTCACTTCTAAATGGGTATTTCTTTCATTTTACATGCATTATATGAAAAATCAGAATCAGCATTACTTCAATGGCTTTTTATTTCCATTATCACTATCAGCATCCATAATAAAAGCCTATTCAACACATTCACCAGCCGTGAAGGTTCACTTTGCCATCCTTGTCACACATCTATTCAAACCAACTGACAAACTCAAACGTGTCCCAAAAAAGGTTTAAGCTTAGAGTGTATTTAAGTTAAAGAGTGCTCTCCTCATCTTATTTATGCAAAAGAAATTGCTGATATAGAATGTAACGTCTATTGAAAGATCACTTCAAACAGCCAGTGTGCACGGGGCTGACGGGGACAAATAGTAAGAATATCACCTCGGCTCAGACTAAAATGGCTTGAAACAGCATTGGTATCTTCATTTGTCGATAAGATGGGGAAAAAAATAGTCATCATAGGCGAGGTGAAATGTTTTATTTCTAGTTTCAGTGCTTCCAACAGCTGGAGCTGAAAAATGAGGAAAATTCTGGGAGATAGTGTAGGGGCTGAACGGCAAACCTAGCTTAATTGCCAAAACATCAAATTATGGTGAAATATGGGGGGCGGGGGGCATTTTTATAAGTATAAGGCAGGCGCTATTTGCAACGCCGCGTTCCAAATAGCTCCCGTGCTATTTAAAAAGCCACATTCTGAATAGCTCCCATGCTATTTGAAACGCCAGTACATGTACTAGAATCTAGATCTAGTGACCATCGTTCCTACATGATAATATTATAGTTCTGCCTGAATTGTGGAAGCTTTCTCGGTTTCTTAATAAACCTCCTAGGATTTGACTCCTTTTTTTATGACGTCTTCTAGATCTACCTAACAATGTTATCTTTAAGTTAGGACTAGAGAACGTATACAAGCTGTCTACGTTCGCTAGGCCTAGATCTAAGTCTTATGTTCAGTGCTTCCTAGCGCGGCATCGAATCCCGGTCCCGGAAGGTGTTTTTTCCTTCTTCTGAGCCTTAAATTTTTTAAAAATAATTTTAAATTAGACTCACAGACCAAGGAAAGCCACTATTGAACTTTTTGTTTGTTTTAGTAGAGGTTTTACGGCGCTCGCAACTGCATGAGGTCATATGAGCGCCAGAAGATTAGAGATGTTACAAGAGAGTAACAATCATAAAAAAGGAGGGGGAGATAAGGATGATAGATGTCTGATAGGAAAGAAGAAGCAAACAACACCAGAGCACCCGCCAACAACCTACTTATTGAACCAAGCCTAAATTGGTAAAAGGAAACGAAGTGACTATTCGGACTATGAATATGAAAATTTTTTATTCGGACTCTGATTCTTGTCCAGCATGACATCACTTCCGACTTCCGATGACTTGTGACTCCGGCTTCCTGTCCTGCTTCACTCGTGACTCACCTCAGGCTGGGTAGAGACCGCGATCACTTCGGGCAAAATGGCGTTTTGTGCAGGAGCCGAGTTTTTATCTTATGATGAATTTGAGGCCAGCCTGAAAAGTTATAGGGCTTCTAATAACTGTTTATTTGTCCCCCGGCAATCGATCATTATTACAATAATAAGCTGGTCGTGACGTGGATCTATGTAATTAATTGTGCGCTGGTCTATGGAATCAAAAGTTGGCGTATGCTCAGCTCTACACAGCAACACAACTTTTTCTTGGTAAACAATCGAGATGACACAGGCTTATGTATTTGAACGAATCGGTCTTTATTTTTTACACAGCTCATAACATGCAGGTGCCAGGTGGTCTGCTTGTCTTCAATTTTACCTTTTTCTACAACAAAGAAAGTGAGAAACATGGAGGGAAGGGGCGCGCGTATCAATGAGGCAGCGGGCATCGGATCGGCAGATAAGGTGTGGGGGAAACTAAAAAATGGCGGAAAATTGGAAGCACTGAACGTTAGATCTATAGAACGAAGACACTTCCTTTTTTCCGGACCGAGTCCGAATATGAAATTTTTTTATTCGGGCTCGAGTCCGAATAAAGACGGCCAAAAGGAAAAGTATAGGCTATACTAGGCCTAAGGCCTACTTTGTTACACTTTGTACAAAGCTCCTCCTGGAGGACAAAACCAGAATAGGCATGCTTCACCCCTACAAAGCAACAAGTTATAGATCTAGATTTAATTATGGGGAATGTTTGTTGGTCAGTCGAGAAGAGGACCAAAAAAAAAAAAACCTTCCTGGACCGGAATTGAACCATCGCTCATAAAATAATGGTTTGGCTTCAAACACAGATGCACTGTCCCTTCGACCATCAGAACTTTCGTCAAAGAAAGGTAGACTAAGCTTCATATAGCCTAGGCTAACACACTGCGTTTTATTTGGCACTGGCGCTAATGGCAACGCGGCGTTGCAAATAGCCACTTCCCTTTTTTTTAAGTCAAGGGGGCATGCCCCTGAAACCCCCCATGTCAAATATTACTAAGCTTATGCTATTAGTCCTATTGTAATGGTTAGTATAAAAATACCCGTACATCTCGAGCTAACAATTTGCGTTGGATTTAAGTCTAAATTCATGTAAAGAAGAATAAAATTAAGAAAAGTGCTTTAGAACATCTGAGAGTGAAACGGGTACATGAGTAAAATAATACGAAGTTAAAGTAGGGGACTGGTATGTGGCTAGAAAAATATTTTCAAAAATTTTCTATTTTCTTCATTCAATTAATATGCACTAAGTCTATTACTATAGTATGAGTAGATTACAGTAACCAATACAGCTGTCACCTCAATTCAGACAATTATGGCTTGAACAGCAATAACATCTTCATTTTTCGATAAGATGGGGAAAAAATAGTCATCATGTTGAGGCAGAACTGACCGTACAAATTTGGTCAATGAAACAGCTTGAAACACTAAATGATTGACCCTCATCCTGCGGGAGCCGGGTTTATGTCGCCCGATAAGCCTATTTCGGCACCTCCCCTACGTTCTGGTCCCGAATCAGTGTAGCCCCTGGCTCAGCGCACGCGCATCCTCTGTGCATCATTCGGGTCCCGAGTCGGATCCCCATTCACGCAGGTCAAGTGTGTGTGCGTCAGTCTGCTTGAGTTTGTGTGCGTTTGTGGCCTTCTAGAACCGACTGCGTTGGTTCGTAATCGAGGCATACGTCTCATTCAAAACATGCCAAGTTGGTAGCTCTAGATGTTCGTCCAATGAAATTATAGAAGAAATTGACCCACTTAAATATGAGGAGCTCAAAGGATAGTCAGGAAACAGGACTTCCATTTTTCTATACAAAATATTTCAAATGAGCTTGGTTTTGTATGAAATGATACTGATACAAAAAAAGCTTGTTTGATAGTTTTGAATACCATTGTGCAGGTACAAAGAACAATTTGAGTGTAAAACATTTGGAAATTGACCTAAATTATCCCCTTTCGAACCTCAGGTCATTCATAACAACAAGAGCGTCCAGAAAGGTTATTCGAATGGACGTAACTACTCGTAATGTCTTATCAGCTTGTGAGAAACACTAAATGATTGACCCTCATCCTGCGGGAGCCGGGTTTATGTCGCCCGATAAGCCTATTTCGGCACCTCCCCTACACACTCCCCCGGTATTCATGGCAAAAACAAACGTTTCCCGGCGCACGCGCTGTACACCAACAGTACACACTGAGTGACCCCGCCGGCCTGCCCGGCACGTCCGACGTAATCGGTTGCTGATAAGATACGCATCTGGGCACAGACGCAGGATAAGAGTTAAGGAGACTGTCAAGTCAAAAGGGTGAACAGACATTCACCTGACTGCCACTTACTACCCACACCTCTCAATTATACCCAGATGTTTCACAACGCGATGGAATCAGGCGCTCATCAATTTTTGGCCATGCGGAGGTATTGGTATCACCATTAAGTTTGTTCATTTGCCTTACTTTCGATGAAAGAATTACCTACTTATCTTGAAGTTACATGAGATATTTGTGATTGAACGAATGATCATTTACTTGATCATTTACTGTCTTTCTAGTCAAATAAAGCGGGTTTAGACTATGTATTGATAGAATCTAGTTATAGGCCTAATCCTTTGTTGTTCTGAAACTTTGATTTTCATTTTTCTGTCACTGCTTTGAGCTCAGATTGCTGTTTCCCTGTCTTCCTTTCCTGTGTAGTATTTCAGATTTTGCAACTGTTATTCAGTTTTGACGTCACTAGACTAATAATTTTCTTAATGTGTCTAAAATTTTGGTCAGATCGTAGAAATCGAGAGAGGCCAAGGTCAAATTGCCTGTCCGCTTCACACCAGGTGATAGCGCACGCTCATTGGAGTTCGAGTCCGAATAGCAAGGGGAAGCTATGCAGACTTGAGTCCGAATTGCCACGGCCTTTGTATCATAAAATCCCCCGACGACAGTTATGTAACCTCACACTCACATAAGTCACTTAGAAGCAGAGACCGAATAGATAAAACCCATTTTCATGCCAAATAGGGGCCTAGACAAAAAAATCAAATCAGACTAGAGTCCGAAGAGAGCTGGCCTTTTTTTCTTACTCAACTTCCATTTTTGTTACTGATAGGGTAAATTTACTCGGCTGCAATTGACACTACCAAAAAAAAAACCCAAAAAAACGAAGTGGCTATTCGGACTCGAGTTCGAACAGCCATGGGAGGCTACCGCTTGTACCATAAGCGAAGTCTTATACTCGAGTCCGATTAGTCTCCCATTGCTATTCGGACTTTGAACTACTGGTAGGCTATTTTATTACACTGCATTTCACGGTTAAGGGATCAAAACATAAAATTCATAATCAGTCCTTATAAGACAGCAGCACCCCCCCCCCCCCCCCCACTCTCTCTTACTTTTTCTTCACCCCTTTATTTTTGCAATAAATCTAGATCTAAATTCCCTCCCATACAGTTGCCCACTGCCCGGCCCTACTATTATATTATCCTTTGAAAAGAAAGGACCACAGTTCGCATTGGGTCACCACGGTCGGCGTCCATTTGTTGTAAGTTCCTTGGCCAGATTGTAGAAACTGAGGAAGGCCAAGGTCGAATTGCTTGTCTGCTTCACATCCGGTACACCCAGTGATTGCGCATGCGCATTGGAGTTGAGTCCGAATAGGCCTAGCCACGGAATTCAGACGAGTACGAATAGCTGCGGCCCCCAAAAAAATTTTGGGTAATTTTTACTTTCACTCCCGCACACAGATGCACTGTTTCAGGGGTCAGACTGCTGTACTGTTTGCTGCAGATCACACATAAAGCCACTAAAACTGTCGCAAATCAATTATTTTCAAGACAATTTCAAATCTAACTGTAAAATATCAAATTATGGGTAAAAACAGGGGGGGGCATGCCCCCCTGTAGCCCCCCAGATTTTCTTTCACCCCGGTGGGGCAGGCCCCCCTGGAACCCCCCGATTGGTCCAAAGCATGTCTATCTCAGTTAAAAACAATCAAATATTTCAAAAAAACTATTAATTTGCGACGGAAATGAAGTTGATATTCGTGTTCAGCGCATCAATATTTAGTAGAAAATAGACAACTGGTAGCTGAGTGTGAGACGGGAGGGAAAGTAAAAAAATACCCTAAATTACACTCTAAACGGGAGGACTTCCGTAACGAGGGACCACTATGGAACGGAGCAGAATTGAGGGCTAGGGGTAGGGTTAGGGTTAGGCCTCTTCTTTAGGCCACCTCTATTCTCACCCGGAGTGAGAATAGTGCAGGCGAGTCTTGTGGCTATTCTCACCCGGTGCGCGTTCACCAAATTTTGCGTTCACCCTAAACCACAGAATTCTACACTGTGATAACAGAAAAATTGTAGAATTCTGTGCCGTGAACAAACGTTCCATTACAACTGTAGCCTACAAAAAGCTTACAATTTTGTCTGTGGGCAGTGGAGAGAGAGAGAGAGAGAGAAAGAGAGAGAGGAGTAGCGCGAGAATTTCCGGGCAAAACAAAATGGCGACCAGCGTAGTTCGGCTCGATTCGAAAAGTTAAATAGCCGTGCCGTAGCATCTTTGTAGACAACCAAATTAATTTACTTTTGTGTTTTAACATCATTTTTAACTTTGTTTTGGTCAATTTGATCGTCCACACCGATAGACTATTCAGAAAGAGACAGAGAGAGAGAGAAGAGGGGAGGAGTTGATCTTGCGAGAACTTCCGGGCGGGTGAGAATAGCCACTTTCTCTTCTTTGTTTGGTCGCTCGTTACGGAAGTCCTTCCCTCTAGACGACAACAAAACATAACAAAACTCAGGGGGTAAGATCTATAGAATGCGCATCAAAACGGATCAACAAAAAGCGCAGCGCGATCCACAGAAGGCGCAACACTTTATCAACTTTATGGATTGTCGCGCGTTTCCTTGATTAACCAAAAAATGCAAATCTTATGGAACAAGGGTTGGAAGTCGGAACGGACGTTATGTTGGACTCAATTCCAAGTATGAATAAAAAGTTTTCTCTAGTATTCGGACTCTAGTCCGAATAGTCACTTCATAACTCTTGTCCTGCGTCTGTGCTGAGATGCGACTTTATCAGCAACCAATTACAATGGACGTTCCGGGCAGGCCGCTGGGGTCACTCAGTGTGTATTGTTGGTGAACAGCCAGCGCGCCTGGAAACGTGTGTTTTCGCCATGAAGCCTACACTTATACCGCGGGAGTGTGTTAAAAGAGACGGGACCGCACTGTGTAAGTAGTACCGAAAATAGCGCTCCATCCTGACTTTTAGAATTTAGTCTAATTTAGAGCTTTCCTGTATTCTAGATATCTAATCTGGAAGCAGTGGTTTCAGGGACAATGATGAGAAATGGTGGAACATAGTTATACAAACGTAGGTATGAGTAGATCTAGATCTAGATCTAGACTAGGAACAAACCTGTGACAACCAAATAAAAACGCTTCACAAATAAATGAGTAATAAATAGCATCTTACCATCGCCATCAAGGCACGGAGAATCAACACCGCTATTTGCCTTCGGCAAACGAGTGCATTACGAAGGGTTTATAGAATCAAATATGGGGATAAGATGTCTACCTGTAAAAACAGCATTCGGATCGAATTTGGGAGGCATGTTTGGCCACTAAGTCGACGTGTAGTGTTGGATGAGTCAAGATTGACACGACCAAAGACTGATGCACCACACCGTCTTGGAAAGGGAAAACGGAAAGGATCAGTTTTGAGGCGGAAGCGGAAAAGGTGGCTTATGTCTATTGAGATTGCTGAGACTGCGCGTCTCTTCATATTCTAAATACACGTAGACTTAGCTCATTCTATTATAATAACACCATACAAGTTTGTTGTTGTTGTTTTTTGTTATGGTTTTGTTTTAGTTGTTTGTTTGTTTTTTGTTGTTTTTGTTATTTTCAAGAGAAGTCGATTGAAATGTGGCATTTAACTCATGGACAGAGAGAAAAACAAATAGCCTAGAGAAATGCTCCAAATGGGAGAACGTGAGAAAGACTTAGAAAGATCCGTAATCAGAACCATCAGAAAAGGACAACTGAGATTCTTTGCCCACGTGAACAGATCAGATGGACTAAAGAAACGACTGCTGTGTAGAAAGATGGAGGGAAAGAAGAGCAGAAGAAGACAAAGAACAACATACACAGATGGCCTGAGCAATTCTGCAACAATTAGAAGAAGAAAAAGAAAATAATGTTTATACATGGGCCTATATTTACTTTTAGCTGCAATATATATATATATATATATATATATATATATATATCGAACCTGTGTGAAACGGAATCGCAAGCGGAGCCAGAAAAAGGTTCCGTCTCAGACATTTTCCGTCTTGTACAGGGGATTTCATAGGCCCAGCCGGTGGGATCAAGGGTCGCTTGTCCTGTCGGCAAGTAGTGGTCAAAACCTCACACCTCTCAACTGCTGCAGCTATCATCTCTGGTGAGCATCAATTACCACTATATCTAGTGCTTGCATTTCATAGGACCACTGACCTATTATAAGCAGAAACGTTTGAACACCTCCTTCACTTCCATCCTTAGCCCCACCCATCGGTGTAACAATAACAGTCAAACGAATTACACACCTCTGGCTTTTGGCTGCCCAGAAAAGTTTCCGTAGGCCTAGTGACACGCTACTCGAGCACTTTCACAGGCACTCGTGAGATTTCACACCACACCACCCTGACCAGCTGAGTGTCTAGCTCAGGGCTCATATAGATGGGGTAGGTACTAGGCTTAGGCTCTCAGAAAGCCTAGGGTAGGTAACATCCCCCAAATTCCACCCCTACTCCCCTTCCTCGGCATACCCGGCGGCATGGCGTGAAGTTTAGAGGCGGCGGAACCAGCTTGCAAGTTTTTTGTTTCAAATCAGGGCTAATAATTAGCGGCCTAGCAGTTTCCGTCTAATTAGGGAGAGAACATAGAGAATGCCGATTTCGGAGACTGACTCAGTAAGTAGGCTACCGATAGGTATAAAAATTCCCTTATGATTTCCAACTTGCCCCAGAGCTGGCAGACCGCAGGCGGCTTTAAACACCGATCGGCGCTGTCGGCTTTATCAGAATCCAAACTATAAATTCTTAGGCCTACTTTACTTTACTTTTATCCGCCGCTTATACCCTTTTGGGTGTCGCGGGAACAAAGAGACGTCTTCCTGTCGCCAGCCGGAGAGCTTGGGTCAGGGGGATGCCGTGGGTGGTTAATGTTTCCCTAACTCCATCCATCCAGGTCTGTCTCGGTCGCCCTCTAGCCTTGTTGCCATCGAATTATTTTTTTTTTATGTAGGCACGTTGTGCTGGATGGTGTGTTGGTAATCGTAGGAGATGTCCGAACCATTTGATTATTTGGTGTTGGATGAAATTCATGACATCATTTGAGTCCACCATTTCTCGGAATACTGAGTTTCTAATTTTGTCTCGCCTGGTCTTGTTTACTGCTTTTCTAAGGCATCGCATTTCACATTTTGTAATTATTTGCTCTAAAGTCTAGTTCGTGGTCCGTGTTTGGCATAAGAGAGTGTTGAAATGGATATGGTGTTGATCATTTTGAGTTTTATTAGCATGGGGATGTTACGATGTTTCAGTCGTGGAGTAAGCTGGTAACTTACATTATTGGCCTTTTGTACATGTGTTTCAATTTCTCTGTTTAGTCGCCCATCCTCTGTGAAGATACTTCCGAGGTACTTAAATTCTTGGACCTGTCTGAGACTGTTGTTGTTGATGTGTATCCTGAGTGGTTCTGGCTTTCTGTTTACTTTCATTGTCTCTGTTTTGTTGATGTTGATTTTTATGTCGTAGTTGTTACATTGTACCTTCTTCGTTTAATGTGGTGGTGTGGTGTTGGAGACTTTGTTCATCTTTGAACTATACATTCTTATTACACCGAAAAACTGGGAAGGGCGTTTCGCTGTCAACCCACGACCTCAATGCTTTCTTGTCGTATATCCATTTTTTAACAGTGAAAATGTGACTTCTTCTTAAGCTCACTCTTTGTTGTGAACAGTTTTCACTGTCATTAAAAAATGTATATATATATACGACAAGAAAGCACTGAAGTCGCCAACTGCCAATGCCGTCTCGCCGTCGCCGACTCGGGTTCAGCGGTTTGCGTGACGTCACCCGACTGGACTGGGGATACTTTTAAATGGCTGTTTCAGAGCTGGTGCTTCACGGTAGACAAAAACTAATTACCTTTCTGAAATCAGCGCCGTCAAATTAGGGTGGCAAGCGAGCAGAATTACATTTAAGCAATATTTTAGGAAATTCGTGGGTCCCCCCCCCCCCCCCCCCAAATAAATGCTTCATAAATACCAGCAGTTGTGTTGTAGTATAATTTTTTCTTAGATCTAGATCTAGGCCTTAGGCGCCATCTATGTGGAGTCAAGAAAACATCCACTGGCGCCTGTCAGCATCGATCTTGCAGCCGCTTTCGGTGCTCTCTGTGTTATCTCCCTTGTACTACTTGTAGGGCGAAAACACAGAGAAAGCCGATTTCGGAGACTGATTCAGTAAGCGCCTATAGGTATAAAAAATTCCCTTATGATTTCAAACTTGTTTTTGTTTTTTTCAACTTGCCCCACATAGATCTAGAGCTGGCAGACTAGAGGCGGCTTTATGCACCGATCGGCATTGTCGGCTTTTTATTGAAATCCAAACTACATTCTAATTACGCCGAAAAACTGGGAAGGGCGCCTCGCTGTCAACCCACGACCCCAATGCTTTCTTGTCGTATCTCCTTTTTTTAACAGTGAAAATGTGACTTCTTTTTAAGCTGACTCTTTGTTATGAACGGTTTTCCCTGTTATTAAAAATGGAGATACGACAAGGAAGCACTGAGGTCGCGAACTCTCTATGCCGTCTTGCCGTCGCCAACTCGGGTTCAGCGGTTTGCGTGACGTCACCCGACTGGACTGGGGACAATTTTAAAATGTCATTTCAGAGCTGGTGCTTCACGGGCCTAGCCTAGACAAAAACTACATGTAATTACATTTTTTAAATCAGCGTCGTCAAATTAGGGTGGTAATCGAGCAGAATTAGCCTACATATTAAGCAATATTTTAGGAAATTCGTGTGGGTTTTTTTCCCCAAATAAAATGCCATAATTTAATACCAGCTGTGTTGTGGTGCAATTTTTTTCTTAGATCCAGATCTAGGCCCTCTCTGTGTGGAGTCAAGCAGACAATACTGGCGCCTGTCAGCGTCGATCTTCAGCCGCTTAAGTTTCGGCGTTCTCTATGTTTTCGCCCGTTGCCTCTTATTGCAAGTTCAATGTTCGGCAAAATCAAAGACGTTGAGAAGTTCACACCTGGGCGTGATCTCTTTGTCGTAAAATCATTGCGTCTGGAGCAAACCTGTACCTCGCATCGAGATTTAGAGCGGACATGTGATGGCATGCATGAGCGTCATCATCATCATCAATGCCTTTCACCCCTGGCAGGGTATAGGCCACATACAAGCTCCTTCCATTTATCTCTGTCCTGAGCCATCCTTCCAAGCTCGTTCCAAGTGAGCTTCATTTCTCTCATGTCCCTTTCCACGCATCTCCTCCATGTTTCCCGTGGCCTGCCCCTGCGTCGTGCTCCCTGTGGGTTCCACTGCAGTGACTGTCTTGTGATGTTTCCGCTGGGCTTTCTTAAGGTGTGTCCCATCCATCGCCACTTTCTTAGTCCTATTTCTACTTCTATATCCTTTTGTCCTGTCCTTTCCCACAGCTCTTCATTTCTAATTCTATCCAGCCACTTAATTCTTAGAATACTCCTCATAATCTGTTGATGAAAGTCTGGACCTAATTGTTCAGTAGGCCTACTGTCTTCGTTGTCTATCAAGTTTCGCAGCCGTAGAGAGACTTGACGTTGGAGTTACAAAGTCGAATCTTCGTGCGCAGTGAGATGTTATGCATGAGCGTGGATGACCTTATATTTGAAGGGTTTTTTGTTCAGTAATGTACGATCTGCAAAGCAGCGTTTTTAGCCCCTTCACACTTCAGAGGGAGAATAATTTATCTTAGGGATGACTCTTGTGTAGTAAAATTTGTTGTTGCTTTGTTTGGTTTATTTTTTAATAGCGGAATCCTAAGTGAACCGGAATTATAAATTGTGGGATTGTAGGTGAAAAGTACAACAGATTTAAACTGAGTATAGTTCTACCAAACAAAACTCACACTCTTATCCACCCACCCTATCCCCCCCCCCTCATCTGATATGGTTTGGTGTTTCTTTAACCAAGAAGATATTCATCATTATGGTTGTTTGGTATTGATTTCATATCTTAATGGAGCCTCTCGATATCTACATAATTTAGAGTACCCTTACTGTAATTAGGAGATGAATGGGCCTATCAAAAACATAAAATAAGTCTGACTTACTGATTGAACTCGAATACCCTTAGGTGTGTATGATTAGTAAATAATATATGAAAACAAGATATACATATATAGAAACCTAGACACTAGACTTTGTCCTGTCAAAATAAGGTCATTCGCATAGCATCTAATTTGTACTCACAATGGAAAGCAATATATATAAGACATACTTTAATTAAAATGTATATATAAATATATACATGACACACACCCACGTACACACACACACACACACACACACACACACACACACACACACACACACACACATATATATATATATATATATATATATATATATATATATATATATATATATATATATATATCTCGGTCTTTCTGCTGGGGTGTTGTAATCTCTTTTGGCCCGGGTTGGCCTGGGAAGGTAGGCCTACTAGCGCCGGAGCCACGCCTCTTATAATTTATGTTAGAATCTAAATTGTGTCTCTGGGGTCTGCCATGGCGGCATAAAAACACTTTCATTCAATTTTTTTTTTTAACGGAAAAAGACTTACCTTTGAAAACTTCTGTCCTCTGCAGCATCATAAATATCGGTTCTTACCCTTGAACACAACACAGGTGGAAGGCATTTTTACTAATTGACTTGCCTAATCCCAAGGACCTCATGATAAAACCTTCTTTCTTATATCTCTCTAGATTTCAGTGGGTGAATCGGGCAGCACGCTGCGCAGGTACGCCATAGTTCCGCTTTGAGAGAGGGCTCCTATCAGTCAGGCTTACGATGCCGCCCACAGAGCATCCTCCATTACTGTAACGCATTGGCTACGTTCACGGCCGTCAAGCTTGGTTTAGACGGAGCGTCCACTGTCGGTTTGTTGTTGTTATCGATCCAGATCCCCACTGTCGGTTTAAGTAAGCCAGTTATTAGTCAGTGACGACAATGACGAACATTTGATATCTTGGACTGCTTCAAGCGTTCCATCCCATGAGATGAAGGAAAACGAAGCAGTGATCCTTGACTGATCGACCATTCATCGTTTTCCCTTACACTGAGCTCTGGCTCAGAGCTTGCCAGTTGTAAGGGAAAACGACGAATTCTCAATTACGCAACAACGCATTAGGAAAATAATGTATAACAAAATTGTATACGCCAACCAAGATGTTTCAATTGCCCGAGGAGCTTCTGTAACCTCCTTGCACTTGCCCTATCTTGCTTCCGGGCGAGACTTTGGTGCGACCTAAGCGCGTGACGGCCCGTGATAATATTAATACATGTGTACAAGTGTAAACAAACGTTCCAGCGCTATCGAGTTGAAAGCGGGCAGTATATGTGTGTGTGTGTGTGTGTGTGTGTGTGTGTGTGTGTGTGTGTGTGTGTGTGTGTGTGTGTGTGTGTGCGTGAGTGTGTGTGTGTGTGTGTGTGTGTGTGTGTTTGTGAGTGTGAGACAGAGAGAGAGAGAGAGAGAGAGAGAGAGAGAGAGAGAGAGAGGGAGAGAGAGAGATAGAGATAGAAGATGGGGGGAGGGGGCAGAGAATGAATGAGGGAGAGAGAAGGGGGGAGGAGAAAGAGGGAGAGAGAAGAGACAGAGAAAAACAGAGAGAGAAGGGGGGGGAGAGAAGAGAAGAGAGAGAGAGAGAGAGAGAGAGAGAGAGAGAGAGAGAGAGAGAGAGAGAGAGAGAGCGAGCGAGACAGACAGAAAAGGAGAGAGAGAGAGAGAGAGAGAGAGAGAGAGAGAGAGAGAGAGAGAGAGAGAGAGAGAGAGAGAGAGAGAGAGGGGGGGGTGTTTATTATAATAAGAATAATAGATTCCAGTCATTGTCTCTCTGCGTCAGTTCCCAGGCTTACCCGGTTCAATACAGTCATTATTGTACACATGTTATGTCCAGTCCCACGTTTTGAATCCCACCTTCTGTTTCCCAGCTCTCACCTCTTGTTTCCCATGTACTGTATCCAATTTTCCATATCCCATATCCCGACTTTAATTCTGTAAGCAGAGCGCTTCGTTTTCCTTCATCTCATGGGATGGAACACTTGAAGTTGGCCAAAATATTAAATATACGTCATGATTGTCGTCACTGACTGAAACCGGCTGACTTAAACCGGCAGTGGACGCACCCCCTAAATGAAGCTTTAGTTCCGTGAACGTAGCTAGCCTCAACAGCGCCTGCAAGCTGCATTCAGGGCGCCGTGAATATAGCCTGCCAACTACGTTCACGGCTGCATATTACCAGAGACTCTAAAATATATTTTAGTGTCTCTGATATTACCGAGAAAGAGAGAAAAAAAATCGTCCTCATTGAGGAACAAGGTCATGTCATGTCAAAGTTCATTTCAGATTCCATTGAGTTCGTTCAGTGACTTCCAGTCCAGGAAGCAATATTTATGCTTGCCGAAGTTAGGAGGGAGTTAGTGTAAATTTTTAGGTGGATCTGGATCAGCTGAGTCTTAGTAGATCTAGATCTAATCTAGATCTAGATCTAGAAGGGAGATATTCTGCGTGGTGTAGAGTTGATTCGTTTACGTTTTTCCTGCGGAGATTGAACAAAGTAACAGGCAAACGGCCATAGTTACGTAGCTGAAGCTGGCTTGTTTTTAAAAAGCTGAACACCAAGTTGACCAAGGCTACTCAAACACACTAATCGATCCTTCTAGATCTAGATCTGTTGAAACTATCGCCAGATCTAAGAAACAATCATGGTATGTACATTATTCAGTTGATGCTCTCGTTCATATCATAATAAGGGAATATTGAAGAATACCGGACCACTCGTACATTATTGAATTATTGCGCAAGAAAGTGGGGTAAGGTAGGCGGGGCAGGTGGTTGGGGTGGAGGAGGGGGGAGGGGGGGTTCAGGGAGGTCTCCCCCCTGACAAAATCTTAATAAATAGACCTACCGGTCCGAGATTCTCCATTGAGAGATATTAAAAACGGGGAAATTATGAATTGAGACATAGGCAAAGTCAGTCTTAATTAGATCTAGATATCTAGATTAGATCTACCCATAATAATAATACTGAAAGTCTCAAAACAACACTATCTTTAGCAATACATAATGTGTGTCTAACTAAACTAATGGGTCAATTTGTTCTCAACTAATCTCATTTGACGAGCATCTAGTCTAGAGCTACGATACCAACTTGGCGTGTTTTCAATTAGAGTAGGCCTAGATCTAGGCTAGCCTTAGCGTACACTTTGGTGTAGAACCAACACAGGCAATTCTGGAAGTAGAAGGTCACAAACGCACACAAACTCAAGCAGAAATTCACGTTATATCGGGGAACATAAATCGGGAGACGGGGGTCAGAAAAAGACACACACACACACACACACACACACACACACACACACACACACACACACACTCACACAAACACACACACATACACAGAGGGACAGAGGAGAGAGGCGAACGCTCAACACCGAGCACTTGAGCACAATAAGCTAAATATATACACACCAACGCAAAAGAGCTCCAATTTACTCTCAGAGGCAATTGACAAAAAGTCAATTTTTGTCAATTGCCACTGCGTCACTCGGTGGCAATTGACACTACCATATATATTGAAATATGTGAGGCGTGCTGACAAAATGAGTTAAATTTCGCAATCCACAAATGACAAATAGAGATCGATAGACTCTAGATTCTAGATCTAAAAATGTAAACAATTCTTTCAAGCCTAGAATTACCACGCCTAAGAAATAATACAGTTGTCTCCGCCTAAGTTGTTGGCGCAATTTTGTGGAGATATGATCTCTGCTTGGACTTGGGTGATTTTCCACTAGTTCTCATTTGGAAGAGAAGCAGGCGGTCCTGTCGTCTGAGCGAGGCCTCAAGCTGGTATGATGGCGGCTGGGCAAATACCAGTTTGGATTTCACGTCTCTTTTCCACTTTGTGCGGGTCGACAGGTGGATGACGGCTTTAGCTATCGAGAAATTTATTGGTGTGGGTGTGTCAGTCTGGGTAAGTGCTGCTGCTTCTTTAACGATGCTCTCAACTTCCTCGTTCCCTGCTAGTCCAGTGTGGCCTGGAATCCACTGTAAGTGGTAGGGGCGGGCACGAGACGAGCCGAGTACCCGTTTCTCGCGGGAAATGGCCTTCCCGTCACTAAACTACTGCTAGGTACCGAGAAGTGATACTGCTCGTTGGGTTGACATAACGAGTAACAGTAACGAGAGTGAGAGAGTGAGAGGCGAGAAATGACAACGCAGACAGTGCCACCCATCATCGTGCCGTCCTGTGTGTGAAACTGAAAGGGAGGGGAGAGGGTGGCGAGACGAGGCGAGTGGGGAGTTGATCAGGGCTTAGGCTTCGGTCTCCCTACCTTCCTTCACAGCCTGCGCCTGCGCAACAGGGCATGCCTAGTTTCTAAATTTAGATCCCCACCACGACGGTCTTCTCGCTAAACGAGTTGCTCGTTCTGTGGGGAGAGAAGAGAAATCTAGGCCACGGCCGGCCTTCTCGCTGAACGAGTGGCTCGAACTGCAGGGCGAGAAGAGATATTGGTCACGAGACGAGAAGTATTGCTCGAGACACGAGACGGGAAGTATTTCTCGTGACCGGGACCGGTCTTGGCGGGAAGTAGGTCAGCTTCCCGGTCTTCTCGCTCGGGAAGGAAAAAGCGCTTCCCGCCCGTCTGTAGTAAGTGGATGGAACTTTCGGAGCGTTGACAGAGGGTGTGCAGACGCTGCCAGATTGAGCACGCCACCTTTTCCGATTGGTTGGCGGGGCCGTATGAGAGGCGCATGACTGCTGACCTGGAATCAGTGCATACATGAATGCATACATTGTTCGAAAGACTGCCTGCTGTATGTTGTGAATCAAGCATGCCCAGCTCTGTGTCGAGAGCTACTAGCTCGGCCCTGTAGCTGGAACAATACCGAACCGCGAGTACACGATGGTCAAGTTCGGTGTCTCCGGTCTTGATCAGTATTCCGCTGCCCCCATACTCTGTGTACCATGTTTAGCTGAACCGTCAGTCCAGACTTCTACATCGGGCAGGGGGAGCGATCGAATGGTGGCCTCTGCTGCTGTTTTCCTGACGGCTGGTTCATTAGCACACTTGCAGTCGACGATACATGATGCAGTCTTCCATGATTGTGTGGGGGGTAAAACAACCAGCTCCTCACGTGGGTGCATACCCAGTTCAGTTTCAGCTACAAGGTTCTGGGCATGCTTTCTCCAGCTCGACTTGCCTGTCCGCCTGGGCGCTGATTTTGTTGCTGAGGCTCTGCGTTGATTTGTTGCAGGCAGACACACGGACTTCTCGAGTGAAATAGTGGTCAAAGCATCAGCTCTATGCCTTAGTTGTAGAATGTCTGCTTCAATGAAGAGGCTGTCCACACGAGTATCCCTTGAGCAGCCCATGATGATTCTCGCTGCTTCATTCTGCTTTGTTTCCAGTTTCTGAAGGTTGGAGGGTTTGGCAAGAGGCACGTAGGCAGGGGCACAATAGTCGATAGCTGACTGACAAGTAACATAATAAATTGGCTTTATTCATTCCCTTGAGGCACCCCAGGTAGTGCCTGTAAGGGCTTTCATTGGTCGAAATCTGCTTGACAGTTTTAGCTCAAGGTTTTGGATGTGGGCATTGGAGGATAGAGTACTGTCAAGTATGACCCCATGTAAGGTGGGGTTGGAGTTGAAGGTGATGGGGGAGCCTTTGAGCGAAAGTGCTGGTTTTCGCTTGGCCTCGTGAGTGCTGGTAGTGAAGAGGGTGCACTCTGTTTTCTCCACACTGATCTCCATCTTGTTTTGCTTTGCCCACTGCTCAAGGGAGATTATGGTTGCTTTGACATCTTCGTTGGTGGCGTTTATGGTATAGTCGTCAGCATAGAGTCCGGTCTTTACGGTTTCAGGCAGGCCTGCTTCAATATCGTTAATGAAGACAAGGAACAGTGTGGGGGACAGGACGCAGCCCTGGGGGACTCCCTGCTTGAAACGACGTAGCCCGTTTGTTGCATTGCCTGCTTGACGCAGGCGTATCTCTGTCCCTGAGGAACGAACCTATCCATTGGGTGATTCGGGTGGGAGTAGATTTCTCAATCATCTTCTCCATTAACTTCGTGCGCCATACCTTGTTGAAGGCACGCGAGAAGTCCATGATGGCTAGCACAGTTCGCTGCATTTTTGGGCGTGCCTGGAACCTGTCTGAGATGTGTTGCGTTAAACACAGGACTTACTCTTCAGTAGACCTTAACTTGGGAAAGCCCGATAGATGAGCTCATACTCATACGCATGCAGAATAAAGTCTTGTGAAGGGTACAGGTATCATGTATATTTCGTCGTCCGTTGGTCCACTCTAATATCTCCCCTTTCATTTTCACCTCAACTCCACTTCCACCAGTTTCTCTATCATTAAAATATTTTAAGATAACCTTTTGTTCATGTGTTCGTCCGTGTGATAAAAGCTATACACGGCTCTTGCAACTGCATTAGGCAAGATGAGAGTGCAGGGCACAAAGTTGGTTGTTTTTATTTTCGTTCAAAGCAGGGCTTGCATGGTTGATCATTAATGTTTCAACTTTATGGTTGAAGTTCAAAGTTCACGGAAAAATTTAAAAGTTCAGTTATTTACATTTTTAAAATAAAGTATTATCCACACTTTTGAAAAAAGACCAATGGTCTTTATAATAACGTTGAGATTCCTGTTTGGATCTTTGAATACACGAGTATGATAAAACAATTCAAAAAAGTTTATTGCCCTGGATTCAAATGGGTTCTGGGAGGAGCAACCTACAGTTTGGCCGATTTTGGGTTAAGCTATGCAAATTGAGATGTTGGCTGTTTTTTTAAGATCAATCTGTTCTTTGTTTATAAATAGGGAGGACACAATTGAGAAAGTCTTTATTCTCGTCTTAATTTACCTTTGAAAACATGAGGGTAGGTTAAAATATATATATTTCACAATAATTGTTGTATTTCTCAGAATATCATTTTTTTGCAGTTTTTTTCCCTACTCCTTTCTTAGTTTTCATCCTTTTGACATGAAATTTTCTGGAAACATAGATGGAAAGACTGCCATCAATGTGACATAGAGATAGTTTCGAAAATAATTACACTTTTTCATTGGCAAGTGATTATGCAACCAAAATTTAGAAAAAGTTTCTATATACATTGGGAAAATTATCATATTTTTCTTCTTTTACAAAAATGAACCTTGAGCATCGCTACTCCCTTTAAGCATGCAAATTATAAAGAAAAAAATTCTGTTTCATGCTGAAAGGGGACTCGTATAGACAGACTGGGTTCTTATGTGGAGTATTCCTAGGCGGAGCACCAGTGTATCTCATTATAACAGCAAAAGTGAATTACTTCTTTATGAACTCAATGATATCTTCAGATTTTCTTCAATGACTCTCTTTGCATGAATGGCCATGGAAGACACTCATGGGGAAACCCACATCTGCACAGAGATAGCAGCCTGCCTTTTGAAGTTGTAGAATAATCCAATGTTGTTTGTCTGATAAGGTATTGAACTCTGTGTAAAAAATGTGAGTTCGGTTCCTGGCTCTTTTGGATATAGGGGATTTTACCTTAGCAAAGTACTTTACCTTGTTTCTCTCAGGCTGCTTTGAAGTGTGTACTTGGGAACTGTAAGGGACAATGAAAGAGGCTTCAGTGATGTCTCCTCTCTTCTGAACTGAAATAATAAATTGAATAAACAGGGAAGGGGGCCAAGAGGATATTGCACAGTCTTTTTCATGAGCCTTTATGTATATATATATATTTGTGGGACTATAAATAGAAGCAGCAGGTTAACTTTATTTGGACCATGACTTTCTGTTTTCAGGAGGAAAAAAAGTGGAAAATTTGCACTCACATTGGCTCTGGTGCTCTCGTCGTTTTGTCAGTCCTCCTGTGCATATACACCGGACAAGTGACCTCAAACAGCTACTTGGAACAAAGGTCAAAAATCATCAAAGATGAAGAGAAATTGTCACTAGGAGGAGAGCTGTCTTTGAGTGCCGAGGAAAAAATTGTGAATGACATTATAATGAAGGTATGTCTTTTATAAGTCTGTTAAACGCAAAGATCCACATGTGCCCCGAATTCTTACAACAGGGTAAAAGCGTTGTTCATGCATGATGTGCATAGTGTAGGTCAAGTAAGGTCACAATGGAGGGCTAAAGCAGAATTCCTTCTTAACTGACTTATTTCTCTTTGTCAAAGGATTAAATGTCTTCAAAGCAAGTTTGTTTGTCTATTTGGTATGAAAAATGATCGTTAAAAACAAATGTGTGGCATCATGATGAAATCTGGCGCTGGTCAAAATATTAAATCAAGAAACCATCATTTTTCTATTCGTTGGGCAATTTCCATTGAATTTTTTGTTTTGAGTACTACACATTTTACGTCCTTTCAAAAACATATTCCTGCGTGGATTGTACTGAAAAACATTGATAAAAAACATAGAAAATGTAAATTTGCTATTTCCAAGGACAGTACAGCTTTGAAAGTCACCAAACTTTGCGGCAATTTTCTCGCTGATTTGACCTCTGACACTAGGCGACCCCCACCTCCTTCAACCCCAAATATTGTTACTTTTATTCGAGAAAGATGAGTAGGTTAATGTTTTCAAAAAATCAAAAGCAAGGCTAATGAAAATGCTGTAAGATAATTTCAACAACTCTGTTTGCCCAAAACTTGACAAGCGCCCAGGGGCGAAGCGTCTATATAATCAAATAATCACTGCTTCCCTTCCTAATTTTGAAACATTGTCGCTGTCAAATTCATCCTTAAACGTAAACCTCTTAAATTAAAAGTAAAAAGAGGTTCGTAATCCACAATGAGTATGCCTAACATTCAAAACGGTTTCACGGCCACATAAATAGCCTCCTAACCCCTCTCGGGCCACTCCATAAGGAGTCGCAAGCTTTGATTAAGTAAGCTTAAAGTGAGGCTGGGAAGAGTCTGCCAATACAGTTTAGGGAACATGTGCATAGCAGTCATGGCTGTTTCATTGCCACATATACCCTGTTCACCCCTTTGGGGCCACAGTTATAATCAATCCCAGGCCCTGATTAAGTAAGCTATCGAACACTGGTCGAGTCTACCTCACAAATGTGAGGGGAACTAACTCCTAACAATCTCTTTACTGCTGCATGTGCTTGTTTTTTTTCCTCGACTTTTTACTGTCCTATAATCAGATCGTGACCTCGATTATGACACCAGCTCCTGGCCACGAAAGGCTAACAAAAACAGCCAAATGGGAAATTTAAAAAATGATAATTGTCATGTTCTACCAAAGAGTTAGACTCTCTGGTAGGTCTATAACATATAGATCTAGTACTGACATCTCTGCTTCTTTGCTTTGTGTTTATGTACTCACATCTAAAGTTAATTTAATTTTAGTTGGAACTGATATTTAATAAGATACTTTCCCGATTATTTTGGCGGTTGAACATACAATAAGAATTCCGGATTTGTTTTCATTCACAACTCAGAGTCGCCGCCTCGAGTAAGATTCTTCTGTGATATCTACAGGCCATATAGATCTATATCTGGTCCCGTTTCACTTTGATTACCCTGTCAAACAAGTCAGCCTTCGCCCCTGCAAGCGCCTGATTCCACAGTGTCATGACTCAAAAATAAGAAAATGTATGTGAAAGAGATGAATAAATTCTTTATTAAGTATGCATGTGTGTACATGTGTTGGTTGTCCTCAGTAACCTTGCTATCCCTTCACTCTTGCTTTTATGATCGGCAAGGTTTCCAACACTTTATTTTTTGTCATCTTTTATTCTTCTGTTTTTCTCTTTGGGTGACATCAAATTCAAATGAAGATAAATAAAATATATGGAAATCTTATAATAATACCTCCATTCCATGTTATGTTTTTACAAGTGGACATCATGAATTAGACTTTTCAAATCTTTTTTCACTTCTTTTGACTGGAGTAAAAAAATGCATACCAATTCTTGGTCAAATACAAGTATTGTGTATTCTTCTATGTCACCAATAACGCAGCAGTAGGGCACATAAGTGACAAGAAAATGTGTTGATTCTGACCCCAGTTGTGATAACATCTGAAAAATGTAATTTTCTTCCTTTTGGTCCTCAGGAGAAAAGGCGACTGATAGAATTTAGTCGTTTAAATGGAACAGAGTTTGTACCAGGGCAAAGTTTTTATATTTCTAAACCTATGATGGAAAAGACTACAGTGCTGAAGATCATCAAACAAATGCCTAAAGGTACAGTTGTGAGTGGGGATTCATATTCAGATATTAAAATGTTGGCTGCCACCATTGGTCTGTGTATTAATGATTTTAAGAAAAGGATGATTGATGAAAAGCTCCATCTCAATCAAACTAGCCTATAGAACCAAGATTCTTTTTATGTAACTCTAAGAAAAGTCACATACCCACTGATTAAGAATACATTTTCACTGAAATGGAAAACTGTGTTTTTAGTGATAAGGCAAAACATTTGAGAGTGAATTTTATTTTGATTCAAAATTGTCAGTGGAAGGTCGTGTTGATTATTTATGTTGTGTCCCATCTTATTTTGGGCATATGTCTGTGTTTTTAAATGAATGCTCATTGACTACTTTTTCATGTCACTTTTCATCTATTACTGCAATGCTCTACATGATAGCCTACCTGACTACTCTTCACAAATAGCACCATTTTCAGAATCAGGCAGGTAGGATTTCTTTTAAAAAAGAACATTTTATACCCCCCCCCCCTCCCCCACCAAATTTCCCCTCTTATGAAAACGGGTTGGATGGAGATCTCTGTGAGTTATGTTGCTTCAAGGGAATAAATCTTTTCTTTCATATTAATATTATGGCTGGATCTCTGATTCTATGCATTTTTATTTAGTGGATTTTCTTTGGTGTGGTATGTAGCATTTATTGGCCTAGAGTTATAAGTATCATGCTCAATGTAGTACCATAACCCTTCTTTGAGTGCGGAGTGGTGTAAAGTCCCTCACTTTGTTCTTCTTTTCTGCCCTCCACCCCTAGGGGCTGCCCTTCACCTTCATGACTTATCAAGTGCCAGCCTGGATTGGCTGGTTCAGAATGTGACCTACAGGGACCACTTGTACTTTTGTGTGGATAACACTACTTTCATGATCTTCAAATTTTTTAGAAATCCACCACATAATCCAGGTATGATTTGTATGACATGCAAATTCAGTTACATAGCAGGAAATCTATAATAATCAATATAACAATAGTAAGGAATTTTTCCCCCTGAATCTTTCATACTTTTCTGTTAATAACAACAATTGTATACCATACATTTACTTCTTCACAAACTTCATGTTTTTTAATATTAGGAAATTGCAATTTATAAAGCTGAAAATGTATTAGAATTATTTTTAAAAATTGTGTGCGTATGCCCATTCGTAAGGACATTATGTGCTGACAAAAACCGTATTGAAACTTGTCAAGCCATGAAAAGTAATTTAATGATTGTTGAAAAATTGAGCAAGCATAATATTGTAATTAAACAGTGTTGCCATATTCTAGGTTTTACAAATAGGCCTATCTAAGATGTGGGATGATCAGTAAAGTAACACATATATTGTTTTATTATAGAATGTATGCCAGGTATACAAATAAAATATCGATTAAGAACATTGGCGCATAGAAATAGAAGTTTAACCCTCATTGTGTCGACAAATCACTAGTATGTTTCATTCTGTGGTGTTGTGGCTGATTTAAGCGGCCGTAATTTAAGTCACTCTTTCAGTTCATTTAAACCTTTTTTTTTATTGAACCAAACAATTCAACTCCTTCACAAATGAGCTCTACTTCTTATATTTACATTCTACTTTCTCTTTGCTTGGTTTGCCTGTTTTCAAGCATTTTCCAACGAAATATGTGTCCCGACACGGTGGATTCAAGCGTTTATCAACTTTTGGCCTTGTAGAGTTGTTTGTATCATATTAAAGTCTGCTGGTTTGTCATGATTTCTGTGACAAAAGTTTCTAGCTGTCTTGATAAAAGTCCAGATATTTTCAATTGAAGGACAAGGGGGGGTCCCCTTGTTTTAGATGTAAAATTAATGAGAAAATGGTCGCCAAAGTTTTGTAACATTCATAGCTTGAGAGTCCTTGGAAACTGAAACTTTTCACTTTTTTGTACTTTTAATCAACTTTTATCTGTAAAACCTATTCAGAAATGTGTTTTTGAATGGGCATAATATGTGTTGAGCAAAAAACAAAAATTCATAAGCAATTTGTCACAAACACTGGGGCGGGGGTGGGGGGGTGGGGGGGTAAAGAAACCTAAATGAGAATGTGCTCAAATGCTGAATCATAGCATGCTTTAAACTCATTGCAGATTGTCCATGGAAATCTGTCCAGAAAGCAAGAGCTATGGCTGCCAGTGTGAAGGATTTTGACTCTCTGTAAGCCATATGAAGGATTTTTTAAAATTCACAATTTTTTCTAAATTATTAAAATTAAAAGATGTGCTTGATTTATTTTTTGTTGCATTACAAAGAGGCAGATAAGTAATAACATATTTACCTTTTTGCTGTACAAGTGGATGCGGCTAGAACTTTTCCCTCTCAAGAGATGACAACCACATGTTTCCTTATGTTATACATATAATTGTTTGATTGCTACATATTTCCTCATTTGTTATACATTCAATGATATTGATCCTTAAATGAACAGTTTGAGGTTGCAAAAACATCTGAATGGGGCTACAGATGTTTTGATTATGTAGCATATTCCCTTTACAAATACTTGTACTGTTTATTTCTATTGAATTTATCATCTTTTCGAAAACTGTTATTTGTTAAATCATGCTGCTCTTCTTGCCTCCCTAAGTAGGAAGTGGGTTGGGGGATGGATTTGAGTAAATAGGCCTACTGCACATTAGCAGGGATTATACCCAAGAGATCTTGTGGCTTTTTCAGTGTCTATGTCCAGATTACCGTGTGTAGTATTTATTTTGATGTATAATCTCTGCGGTCTTTCATCTCTCTTCCCTTATTACTTTTCTGACTGAGTTAAATGGTCCACTTTCAAAATGGCCTATTTGTGAACCAAGGAAGGAAACTAAAGAGAAAGAAAATTGTATATTTCTATGTCATGTTTATTTCATGATCTGTTATTTATTTAAACTCTTCTATGATCTGATGACTTTTGTGTTCACCTTTTCTTGGTCTTGTCTTCTCTTCTTTCAGTCTGAAACGTAACATCAGTTTTCTAGCTGTTGACCCAGTCAGCGAGTACAAAGATGATTACCAAGCTTGGATAAGATTTAATAAATACTTTGAACAGGTCAGTCATTATTGTTCTCAAGTAGTCTGTTCTTATACTTTTTTGACTGTATTTGTACTCAGAATTTTCCACACTGTTGTTTCTTTGAATCACACTGAAGATTGAAAAGACTCTATTTTTAAAAAGACTCTATTTTTAAAATATGAATTAAAACTTGGTTTGTGCTCATGATAAAAAAAAAGATTTTTTTTTTCACCATGACATGGACGTCTCATGTTATCCAGTTACAGTTGACTCCATTTGTGCTGAAGTCGTTGGGGTTGATCTTCGATTAAGTTGATCCATTTCTCAGGACCCAGCACCTCTTCTTCTGTACATTAATAAGAATCAATTTGTTTTAACTCAAATGTGGATACGACTGAGTTGAAGTGCTTTTTTATCTCTAGCTGCCAGCATGCAGAAGGTGAATTTATTTTTGCAGGTATCTCGTCATATTAATCAGTTTTGTTGCAACAGTTTTTGACAAGGGTGATAATTCTGGTAAAAATACGTGTAGAGCTGATCAACGTGCAGTTGAACTACATGGTGTTTTGATGAAACGGTGAGGGGAAGGTGAAGAGTGAATGTGTATAACATCACTATGCCATCAATGATTATGTCTGTTGCTGCCTCTCCCCTCAGTCCCGAAGGGCATGGCATGACGCACTGCAAGATGATGAGTAGGCCTAGTTGGTCTCTGTTGCATTGCCATTAGAATTTGATTAGATACTTTCTCTTGCCTGTACTGCCATTTGAATTAATTGTATAGGCCTGTGTGGGTAGCATAAGCATACAGCATGAGATCTACAGAAACAAATCAAATGTGGTTTTGCACTCAAAGAGTTGCATCGTTCACTCCATCCTACTTTAATGTTATTTAAATTGCCCTGAGAGTAATTTTTTATTTAATTTTCTCCATTACTCATAAGAAAGATGACTGGAAGAACATATGTTGCTCTTGCAATCAAGAGAAGCAAAAGAGAGTATAGAAATAGAAGTAAATGAACGGGGGAAAGTATTTTGTTATGTCCTTTGATTTTGTGACCCAAATGATTAAGTTGAACTATGAATAAGTTGGGTTTTTTTTTCACATTCTAACAACATCAGCTCATCTGTAGTCAACAGTATAATGTGTACTTGAAGGTCTGATTCATTTTTTTTCTTTTCGTGTTGTTATTGAAACAGCATTGGCTTGTTTCCCCCCCCCCCCCCCCCCAAAATGGTTAGTGAGAATCACCACAAATAAAATAGTTTGTTTCTGAATAGATTTATGCCTTGAATGATAATTTCAAGAAAATGCATGAAAATTTATCGGTGTTAGTGCCTTTTTAAAAATCATATGTTAAAAGAGGTAATTGAAGATGGCTTTCTAAGAGATCAGAAACTGGTTCCTTTTTTGCGATTATTAGCTTGCTTTTTGCCGGCCATGTGCACATTCCGTTGCGCCTTCATCCATAGTCATAGCAGAAAGGGATTAAAGAGAGGTGAAGGATGAGAATTGTTTGATCGCCCATAATTTTTGTTCATTGACTTTGTTTTTCCATCGCCTCTGAAGAAAAAGAAAAAACAAATTTTTTTCCAGAGTTTTCATGTCTTTCTATTCTTTTTTTGTGAAAAGAGATTTCATTTGTCAGAGATAGATGTAAAATGTAAAAAGAGTTTTTGGTTCTTTTCATCACTTTTGAACACACCAAGGCATAATGACATTTTGGACTGAGTGATAATTCGATTTCTGGAAAAAAAATGCTTGTTTATTTTTTTAAAAACTGAATGATTTTCCTCTCCAGGTGATTGACATGATCTATTACGTCCCTGTGTTCAGAGACTACGTGTGGCAGACGTTAGTGGAGTTCCGGAGGGACAATGTACAGTACTTTGAGATGAGAGCCCAGTTATTTGGGGTAAGCTCTGAAATATTGCCTGTGATGACAATTATATGCCAAGTTATATCAAATGATGGAAAGACGTTCTTTGGCCGTATTATGAGTGTAATTGATTTCACCATTTGGTTTGAAAAGTGCTCTGTAATTAGGGAGAAGTTTTCTTTAACCGCCATACGAATTGGGGGTTTAGAAGCTGTTTATGTCATGGTCATTAACATGTTAATGTAAATTTCCCTTTTTTTTGGTGAAACACTTTTGTTATATTTATTGTAAATGGCTGATTTGTTTTTGTCATCAGTTGCTTGATTTGGATGGAAACTCCCACGATGCAGAATTTGGGCTCAACGTGTACAAAAGTGCCATTCAGGAGTTTGTGAAGCGGTACCCTGACTTCTCCGGGGCAAAGATAATCATGTCTGGCTTGAGGTATGGTATATCATCCCTTTCGGAAGACAAATGAGTAAAACCAGTGGGCTTCTTTTTTTATCTCTCATGGTAAAGCATTTTTTAAAAAATGCAGATAATTGAGGAAGCGGGTTTCGACCCTGTCTGTCAGGGCCAACCTGGGCTGAGAGGGATACAACATCCCAAAAGAAAGACCGAGATGCTCAATGAAAATTCTCGCTACGTGGGAATCGAAATTAGGTCTCCAGCGTGTGACAGTGAAACTCATAACCGCTACACCACAAACGCCAGTCTAGTTAAGCAGGCTCTGATGGAATTATTTGTTTTTCTTGTGTTAACAACGGTATATAATGTATCAATACTTCATAGTGTATGATGTCCTTGATTGGATGTATGTGCACATTATATATGTATATTATTATATTATCAGCATCGGAGACAAAGAGTTAAGGTTTTTATCATGTATTTCTCTTCAGTTCATCTCCCTAGCTCTGTCATCTTTAAAAAAAATCTATCTTTAAAAATGAATTCAAAATTCAGGAGAGAACCAGGAAAAAAACCTGGACATTTTTTCTCCTTTGAAACCTTGGCTTTTGTCTGTGTAGTTTTTTTCCCTGCACTGAATTGCAATCATTGTGTTTATGTGTTGTTTTTTGTTGTTCTAACAAACAAGCAAAACTTTTCACTTGACTGACTTTCAGGTTCAAATCCAAAGAATTGATCCTGAAGGAAGTACAAACAGCTGCCACCCTTCACTCTCGCTACCCAAGTATTTTCTTGGGTTATGATTTAGTGGGTGAAGAACCCAACCAATTCTCTCTGCTTCACTACCTGGATGAGTTGCTCTACCCCTCAAGACAGAACCCCCCTTACTACCTACCCTATTTTTTTCATGCTGGTGAAACCTGTAAGTTTGTTTTGTTTGTCATCCATGTCTCGTTTTCATAATAGCTAAAAAATAGACTTGGGCAATGAATGAAATTGTTTAGAATGTTGGGTTTGAACCTGAAACTTACGATCCTGAATGTTAGAGGACTAAGAAATAAGATGAAAAAGGTGTGAACATTTAAACGGCTTAGAAGGGAGAAGGTACATATTGCTACATTACGGGTAACATATTTAAATGATAATGATATGTGTATCATAGAGAGAGAAATGGGTGGAATACTACATGACAGCTGTTCAGATAGCAGGAGTAAAAGACAAACACTTATTTTGATAAAAATCTCAAGATGGAAAATATGGAGTTATTCTTGCCCTTAATTTCGGATTTTATTTTTTAGTTGGAATTTTTTTAAAGAATAGATTTGAGAAGGGAGAGATTTCTGTTTTGAAATTTTACTGTATTTTTCATCTGACTGTCCACTGCTCCTAAGATTATGTAAGGAAGATATTTATTAATATTCAAATTTCAGTACAAATCATTGATATCGCAAGCATTCCATTAAAGTCCGCTTGGGCACTATCATCTTAAATATGTAGGCCTACCATGCTTTTAATTTTTATACTATGTCCAACTGATGTGCTGATGTGTGATTATTTTTATTCTCCTTAGCATGGCAAGGCACAGCAGCAGACTACAATTTAGTAGATGCCATCCTTCTAAACACAACTCGAATTGGACACGGTTATGCTCTGAGCAAACATCCTTCTTTGGTGAAACTTGTGAGGGAAAAACAGATTGCTGTAGAAGTGAATCCCATTTCAAACCAGGTATGTTTTATGCATTTTCACTCAAGGCATGTTCGTTGGATTTGAGGGAATGAACACAGTTTGTTCATTGATTGTTGTGTTTGGAAGTATTTTATTAACTGGGCAATATTGTTAATTGTTGAAAAAAAATACTAACCCTTAAAACCCTGAATCCTTTTTTTTCATACCTCCCTAGAATCCTGAATTAAAATTGAGATACTAGAAAAAATTAGGTTGGTTCATTGTTTTATTTACTGTGCCTTTCATTGTTGTTAGATTTTACTGAAGTTTGAAAATGTTATTTATATATATGAATGCACAGTCTGAACAAAAGGGGAAAAGGTTAAAACACTGGTTTTTAGAACCAACTCTAAGAGTTATGTCTTGTGTGTGATCTCCGACTCCACTTCGGTCAAAGTATCATTAGACCCAACTGTAGATCTAGGCTCTGGTAGCTTTAGTGGGGATCCCCTGCCTATTCCACTATCGTCAAAATCATTATCGATGTTATGTGGAACATTACAATCGTCTTCAATGGTCATATTTATCGATATATCCGACTGGGAGATCATTATTGGGGTCTGGTTCAGGATAAAAAATGTCAAAAATTTTGCGGCCTGAAGGGCCTGGCAGCGAAAAGTGACCAATTTTTCTTTAAAACTCGCAAAATTTCCAAACTTTCAGTGTAGAACTGCTCTCATGGCATTATCGGTACTTTCTGCTCATGACGTAGTCTTTTGGAGTTACGTCCCCTGTTTCTAGCGCCGGGAATTAAAAAATAAAGTCGACCAGCGGTTACCAGCAGTTACCAGGGGGTATAGGGTTTTAAGGGTTAAACATTATTTTTTCTGTGTAACACAAGTATTTAATTTAGACATTTGTTTGTATTTACAGCTTGATAAGCAATACAGGTTTTATGTCTCCTTTATAATACACACAGGGCTGATGAAGCCGATATGTTTTGTTTTGTAATCAAGCTCATTGTCAAAAAGTGTATAGTTCCAGATGTGGATCAATTGATGGATTGCAACAATAATGTGTGCTAAGATAATGTATGAAGCTTAATAATCTCCATATCTTCAAATTTTTCAACAGCTTTTAGGACTTGTCAAAGATGTTCGCAATCACCCTATGGTTGGGTTAATGGCAGACGACTTCCCCATCGTGATCAGTTCTGATGACCCAGCCACTTGGGAAGCTCTCCCACTGTCTCATGACTTCTATGTCACCTTCATGGCTATGAGTGGAGAAGACGCAGACCTGAGTTTCCTCAAGCAGCTCATCCTGAATTCTTTCAAGTAAGACTTTTTATGTTGGGCTGTATTTGAATTCTTTTGGTACCTGAAATCTTCTTATGAATTCTGTTGGTATTTTATTTCTTAAGTATGAATTCTGTTGGTATTTTATTTCTTAAGTATGAATTCTGTTTGTATTTTATTTCTTAAGTATGAATTCTGTTGGTATTTTATTTCTTAAGTATGAATTCTGTTGGTATTTTATTTCTTAAGTATGAATTCTGTTGGTATTTTATTTCTTAAGTATGAATTCTGTTGGTATTTTATTTCTTAAGTATGAATTCTGTTGGTATTTTATTTCTTAAGTATGAATTCTGTTGGTATTTTATTTCTTAAGTATGAATTCTGTTGGTATTTTATTTCTTAAGTATGAATTCTGTTGGTATTTTATTTCTTAAGTATGAATTCTGTTGGTATCCTATTCATTCGTGATTATGGTCTATGTACGTATTTTACTCTTTTGCAGACTTTTCCAAAAGGCAAATTCTCTGATTTCTCAATGTCTCTCTTGTTATTTTTCTTTGCTGTACCTTTTGGTGTGTTCGGAATTTATTTAAAGTTGCTGCCTTTCGTCTTCTTTATCTTCTGTATTTCAATATGATGTATTGACAAGGCTGTTTGCATAGAAAAAGAGTTTTAATTTGCCTTGTTGGGAAGTTAGTTGTACATTTAGTATCTCTGTCTCTTTGCTGGGATGTTACATCCAACTTGGCTTGGGTTTGCCTCGATGGGAAGCATCAAAGTAGCCAGCCTCATAATGTGAATTAAATTACATTACACCATAGAAACATGTCTTTTCACTATTTTATCTTTAGTGAAACGCGTATCATTTATGTAGAGGGTCAATTTTTAGGGCTTGAAAAAAAAATATTTAAAAAAATTTTTAAATACGGTTTCAATGATGGTGACTCCAATTCTTTCATATCACTGACAGGTACAGTGTGATGAAACCAGCTGAGAGGAAGCGTGCTATGGACCTGTGGAAGGACAAGTGGTCTGAGTTTATCAACAATGTAGCCCACATGAAATTTTGAGTAAAGAATGACTTGTGAGTCACAGAAATGTTGGTGAGTCATCGTGAGTTTGGTGGTGAAGATTGTCAGACAAACTAGAGCTGGATCAGTTAAAAAGTAGGAATCATTTTCAGTTTGGAGTTACTTGTTGCCCATGCTGGCTGGTTGGTGGTCTGGTGTGGCTTTTTTCTTTCTATTTCTTTTTGTGTTATCATCATTAAAATTGAAAATGGGTGTTAATTGAAGGTTTTACCATTTAAAGGATGTTTCTCTGTTGAAAAGGGGTGTAAAACTCATGCCAAATACCATTCCTTATTATTCTTCATTACATTATGCCTGCTCACGTGGCTGTGGGAACCCCCCCCCCTGCCTGTGGGTTGGGGGTAATAAATAGACCCTCTGCACACTTACTGGCAAGGCATTGCTTTCAACAGTGAAATGTTGTTCATGGATGTCTGTATTGATATTTCATGCATTATATTTGTTGTATTGTCTCCATCTTCATTACATCTTCCTGTTTTTTTCTTTATTCTCACATCTGACCCAAGTGCTTTGCTTTTGAAATGACCGATTGTTTTGTCTTGAAGGGAATTTAACCCCTACAATCGGACTAATCGTTAGGCTGTTTGCTGTTGCACACAGAAAGTGTGAGTTCAATTTCATGTGGGAAAGTATGAGGGCTGTCCAACGGAAAACCGGAATTTGGCTGTTATTTGAAAACTATTCAATATTTTCACATTCTGTAAACGCTCACTTGTAAAATAATCATTTAGGAATTTCCCGATTGAGCACTATGAGCATCGCAAAATCCAAACAAACACAGCAGTTCTCCAAAGATGGCTACCCCCTTGAAAATTGGTCAAGGGTAGAAGTGAGGTCTGCCTTTCGGTTTCTAACCGCAAAAGGTCTCAAACTCAAACCTATAGAAATACACACTGAACTAAAGTCAGTTTACGGGGAGAAAGTAATGGCAAAGTCACAGGTATATGAGTGGTGTAGTAAGTTCAAAGCCGCGCATATGGATGTCAATGACAAAGTTCACTCAGGACCTTGTTTTTCTGCCAAGACTGAGGACACCAAGAGTCGATTTAATGAACTCATTCAAACAGACAGGCACCTTAAAGTTTTTCCGAAATTTCCGAGTCGCAAAACATTTCAAAGTTGACTGTCCACAGGATAGTGTTTGATGAGCTGCACTATCGAAAGATATCTGCTCGATGGGTCCCAAAAGAGCTGACAGCTGACCACAAGACGCAACGTGTTGAAGTGTGTCTGACTTTGTTGAAACGCTGTCGCCAAGTTGTCACGGGAGTCATGAACGCATCTGAAGACCTCCAACAATATGATGAAGCATTCCTGAGAAGCATTATTACAGGTGATGAGACTTGGATATACTACATGACCCCTGAGACGAAGAGGGATTCAATGGTTTGGAAGCACACGTTTTCACCCCCCCCCCCCCCCCCCGAAAAAGTTTAAAGTTCAGTCATCGGTGAAGAAACTCATGGCCACGGTTTTCTGGGATGCTAAGGGTGTTCTGCTTCTTGACATTCTGGAACCAGGACAAACTGGTAGTGCTAACAGATACTGCCAGACTCTTGATAAGTTGAGAGAGGTTGTGCGCCAAAAAAGACCAGGCCTGTTGTCCAGCGGGGTCATGTTGCAGCATGACAACGTAACGCCACACACCGCAAACGCTACGAAAGACTGGATCCAAAGGTTGGGCTGGGAAGTTCTGACACACACACACAACCCCCCCCCCCCCCCCCCTCAGGGTCCTGAGTTGGCCTAGTCAGATTATCACCTTTTTGGACCAATGAAATGCCATATTTCTGGACAGCGATTCACCGACGACGAAGACCTCGTGGAAGCTGTGAAAGATTGGTTGAAATCCCTTGACGAAAAATTTTTCAGGGAGGATATCTTCTCCCTGATCCAGTGATGTGAAAAATGTGTCCAGCGGGATGGTGGATACATTGAGAAATAAAGCACAAGTTGAAGTATGATGTGTTACATTTTTATTATAATAGGACAAAAATTGTTTCTTTTATGGACCTTTTCCGGTTTTTGGTAGGACAGCCCTCGTAGCTTTGTCAAATTCAATTGAAGTTCAATGTATTTGCTGAGGTTATGCCCCACTCAGCCCAAGTTGGACCTGACAGGCAAGGCTGAAGCAGCCAACTATCTGAACAATCTAAACTTTGTTTATGGGATGTTATAGTATTTCAACTGTTCTGTAGAAGACTCCTTCATATGTCACTTTTCAAAATGATGGATGGCAGAGTCTTACACGAAACAGTTGATTTGTAGTTAAGAAAAACCTCCCACAAAAATCAAATAAACATTTGTGTCATTTCCTTAAAAAGATTTTTTTTTCCACACACAGATGAGATGGACTGGAGCTAAGTACAGAGAGTATGGCATGTGGGACAAAAAGAAGGAATTTTAAGTGAGCTTCACCGAACAGCTTGGGAATGGAGATGTGGTGCTTGCTCTACCTGGGTTCATCAACAGCTGGGTGTCTGTTGGAAGCGTTTCTGTTGATGATATTCTATTCACAGAGATAGATCTGATTATAATTTGAAATTTTAATTTTTATGGCGTTTTGAATTTACTGTTCATGGTCTGTTACGGCGTTGCACTACTGTTGCGATGGGGGTTGCACAGTGTCTCTGTATTTTTTTAAAATTTCTGTACAGCCACAGAAAACTTCCCAGAAGGACATTATAATATTATCTCATCTCATCTCATCTCGTCTAGTCTCGTCTCATCTTATCATTTAAAGAACACAGCCAGCTAGCATGGCTATTTGGCAGAAGATCAGGGATCCTCATACAAACCGTGTGGACAGACCCATAGCAGTCCCCCTTTCTCAACTTTCTGTCAAAGAGTCGTCCTCCATACGGTGTTACGGGTATCTTGTTGAAAAGTTGCCATAATATTTCCAAACTTTTTTCTTTTTTCAGTAGATTACACTATACAATATATAGCATTATACTTCACGGGGTAATACAATTCTGCTTGTGTTTATTAATATTGTATCTGACACACTATTTGCTGTGTTCTTTGATTTTTGAAAAGGATAAATCAATGGTTTCTTTTGCTTAAGCACATCCTTCTTTTGTTCCTTCATCAAGATAAGTTTTGGTTACAAGTCTGTCAGACTTCTCTTTTGTTCTGATGAATTTGATGGAACAGAGCTTTACTCTGCCATATGAGGACTGTAATTCTACATTTTTATTATTCTTTATAGAATGGAATCTAGAGTTAAGATTTTTTACTGGTTGTGTTAGTTCAAAGAATTGCAAAGTTAAGTTGAACAATGTTTGGGCTCAAGCGCTCTTTTGAGAATAGTACTTATCTCCATAACATATATCCATGCTATCTTAGGTAACGTGGTCAAGTCTTGAGGGCCCCTATATGTTGCTGCTATGTTGAATCTAGGGTTATCTGGTACATGGAGTTCTACTCTTGAAGCATAGGAAATGGACTCTCAGTTTAGATAATCTAAAAAAGAATAGAGATGATTTAATCTTGTGAAACTAAGTTTTCTGTTGTTGGACATTTCATGTTCAGTGCCATCATTATTTTTTAATATTGTGATAGCTCAGTTTGTATTGTGTCACTCTGGTTCGAATCTCTGTTGGGGTCTTCTTGGACTTGAGTCCCTGGGCTGATTTATTAAAGATGGAGTAAAATCTGGACATTTCACCTCTTTATTAATCTTACAGTATTTCCATAGATGTGAAACCCATATAATACCAATACTGAAATGTTGTCTTGGTCCCTTATTCCACTTCCATGAGCTGTTTGGTTATGCGCTTGTGCATATATACTGGTTTCTTTGCACCCTTGTTTTGTTAGATCAGATATTCACACCCAAGTTTGAAGCCTGTATTTCGACGAGCTTTGAGTAGATAGTCACAGAGACAGTTTGTTTTCAGAGATATTGATATAAGACTGAGGCTAGTCTAAAACTGTTGAATTTTAGTCATTTTTTCCCATTCTCTAAGAACATTACCTTTCTTCTGTGACTTGCTGTGAATGGTAGTATACAACACACACCTGCCTCAAGTGATATTTGTTTCGAGTACACTGTTTTTATCCTAAATGAGCTTTGCATAATATGTTATCAAATGGTTCTGTCCCACTCAGCCTACACTGGCTGTGACCATGAATGAAGCAGCCCACCTTCTGAATGGTTTTTATTTGTGTTGATGTGGACAAAAAACATGCCTACTCACTAGAGTTGGGGCGAGCGGACGGATGGGTTGGTTACTCACAGACTCAGTCAGAGCGAACAGGTAACGGACGGCCATGCGAACGAACTGCAAACCTCAAGACTGTCCTTTTTTTGGGTCCACTCCACAATTTGACTCTCTCAGCGAGCGGACTGTGGACCTCAAGCCTCAAGTCACTTCGTTTTTTGGGTCCGCTCCACAATTTTATTCACTGAGCGGGCGGGCGAATGGACGAACTCTAGCAGAGGAGATACTCGACGCGAGGTTTGACCCATCGTCTAGTATTTGTTAATTAGGCCTAGATCTAATGTTTCAAGCCACTAGCGGCACCACAGGGAGGGAGAGAGGCTGGTGACGTAGTACTATGTGTGTAACCTTTCTCCTCGTGCGTGGGTCACACTGTACGTTCCAATTATCACAAAGGCCGGGGGTGGAGAAATTTCTGCCATGAACGCCCAGCTACAATGTGGGGCAGGAGGGTGATTTTTTAATTAATTTTATTTTGGGGGGGGCGCTGTAAGTAGTATGCAATGGAAGGAGTCGCCACCCGTTCGTCCGCCCGCTCGAATGCATGGTGTCTCTCTGTCCGTCCGCCCGTCCGCTCGCTGAACGAACTGTTGTCTCTGTCCGATGTGTAGCGAGTAGCAAACTACTCTTCACAAGCAGACGGTTCGTTACCCGTCCGCTCGTTTGTGGGTAGTGCCAGCGAGTAGTTCGTTACTCGCGGACGCTAATTTTCCGAGGGTGACCCAACTCTAATACTCACATTGATGAATAGCTCGTATTGATTTTTTTTTTTTCATACTCTCACATAGAATCTCTGTTCCTCATTTTGTTTTGTCCAGTTCCAGCAAATAATGAAATTGTTACATTGCCATGAGTAAGTAAATACTCCTGATATGGATGCTTTTGTTGATTTTTGTTTTCATAAGTGTTGTTTTGTTTTATGGATGGGTTTTGCCAATGGTTTTAATGTGATTTAGTCTAAAAAGGGTAGTGATAACAACAGCGCTGCAGTCATTTTTTTAAAGTACAGTATATGCAAGTTTTTACAATTTTACTGGAAAGACAATAAAACTGAATGTTGTTACTAAGAAAACAAACTATTTGCAAACATCCTGAGTTAATATTTTTAAGAATACAAATTTTATGATAACTTCTTTATTGTCTTGAAATAAAATTCTTGGTAACAGTATTCAATTTTAAAATTCTCCTATAAAATTGTAAAAAAAAAAATGTTTTATGACGGCAGAGCTTCGATGAATTTAATGGTAGAGTGAGTGCCTCTGTACCAGGCTTACTAAGATAACAGTGTTGAAATTATTGTTTTGTTTGTTATCTTGTACTGTGATCGTTTTTTACTTTTATTTTAAAGATCTTTCAAACTGCTTTAGGGAAACTAGTTTTCATAATGCTATGATTTGTTAGCTTTACTATTGCAATGTTTTAAATTTTTCTTTGTCACCAATGCTTTTCTCCGCCATTTTGTCCATTGTTGTTTTTGTAAATTGTACATGTTGGCACCTGAAAATAAGGATGCAATTATGTCTCAAATTGAAACATCAACTAGAGTCCTTTTAAGGTAAGGAGTTCAATAAGGCTACTACTAATTCAAAGTGAAATATCAGCTCAGAACATTGCTAAGCTCCTAATAAATGTAATCGCTAAGGTATTGCTTCTGATGTTGATAATGCAGTCAATGTGGAAGCTTTCTGAGAATTGGGGACATTGTCCTATATTGTGTACTTTTTGTGAATTTGAACTGAGTTCAGAATTGTATTTTTGCATCAGATTTTTAAAAAAGACAGCCAAGTTTTTTTCTTCGTTTTACTGTTGAATGATGGTTGTAGTGCACAATGTTCTAGGCCTGTTACAGTTTGCCATGGTTTATTAGAAATGCCATACCTGTCCCAAGTGAAAGTTTTCTTTCAGATAGCTTAACCTTCTATAAGTAGATTTCACATATTTTTCATGTTAGATGCTAATTGGCAATCTTTTTTAAGAGCAGAGTTTGTGAGTAGGCCTACAAATTAAATTGTTGACAAGTGTTCTGAAGACTTTTATCGATTCCGTCTCCCAATATTACCCTTCCAAGAGAAACAGAAAAGAGCTCAATTTTTACTTGTAAGCAGCAGCAGCTGTTTTTTTTTCTCTATTTTTACTGAGAATTCTCATTATTATTTTGCGAAGTTTACTAAATCTTCTCAGATTTCTGTTTATCGATTCCGTCTCCCAATATTACCCATCCAAGAGAAACAGAAAAAAAGCTAAATTTTTACTTGTAAACAGCAGCAGGTGTTTTTTTTTAAATCTCTGTTAATTGGGAATTCTCATTATTATTGTGCAAAGTTTACTAAATCTTTTCAGATTTCTGTAGTGTCTTGTTGAAAATGCTACTTTGTTCTTGATCTGATATTTGTTTCACTGAGATCATAATAATATATGTAGTATATAATATTATATATGTTTGTATAAAGGATAAAAGGGCTTTTACTTTTAGTATGTAAAAATAGCACAAAGCTGAATGTTGTTTCAAGAGATGTTTACTGCTGTTGAATCAAACAGTACTTTTTTGCAATTCACTTTATCTACACAAGTGTATATAAGCAGAGTATTTTATCAATAAATAGAAGTTTCAATACCTTAAAAAGTTATCTGTTTTTGACTTTCAAGCTCCCATCTTTTTATTCTCCCTGTGGTCTAAAGCATGAACAAATGAAAGTTTAAAAAATTTCTCATGACAATTAAACTATGTTTGTAACACAAAATCGAATAATTGGTCATTCTTACCTTTACATTTACGAAATTGTCGTTATAACTTGTTACACTAGAACAAAATGAGATATGAGTGGCTTTTAATGATCATTTGATTTTTGAAAAACAAATAATTTGATTTTTAAACAGATGAATAGTGATACAGCTCTTAGACTTTAAGTCAAACTAATTGTTAGGTACTTTTGTGCTGTCAACTTCTGTTGAAGTTTTTCACCTGTGTCATTATTCAATCAAAATCTTTTTCGTTCAGGGCAGAAATCACGATATTGAGTGACCCAGTTTTTCTCATAGATGATGATCCGTGTTTCTTTCAAATCTGCTTAATGTATCAAGTTCTCACTTTCTTGTTTATTATCTTTGTTTTTGCCTGTCTTCCTCTCTCTTTCTGTAACTGTTCTCTTAGTTGTCTTTGTAGTTCTATATATTTCTTCCTATGTGCTTTTCCTTCCTTACACATTGAATTTGTTATTTCTTTTATCATGTTGTCAACACCAGTGTTTGTGTAGTGTAATGGTTGGGCTCTTCACCTAGCTTACAGAGAGTATATGAGTTTGATTCTCAAATGGAAAAGTTCACTCTGTCATGAGTCTCTGTCTGTAGGGATGCTGTATCCCACCTGGCACTGGTTGGGCCAGTCAGACCGGGTGGAAGCCGCCCACCTACTTAATTATGCTTTACTTCTATGTATGTGGTTCTTAACCTTGTTGGAGATACTGAACGCCTCAAGTTTCACACATGTTGTTGAGAATTTTAAATGATTAGCAAAGTTCCTTGCCTTTTTTCTCCTAATTACACTGAAAGCCATTTCCCTTTGCTTACTTCCCTAGTTATGTTGTGAAGAACAAAATGGGTATCATTCTCTTCATGTTTACATGGTTTCAAAAGTTCTTTATGCATATTCATATACACTCACATTTTCTCACAATAAATACAGTTGAACCTGTCGGAGACGACTTCCCATTATAGAGGAAAAATGTGGTCTTAGTAGACAAGTGGCTCTCGTGGACAGGGGTCTCATGATACAGAAGAGACACAGAAGAGTAGGGAAGTGGGAACTAAGTGCTTGTTTGTACAGATGGTTGTCTTGGACAGGTGGTCGTAAGAGCAGGTTCAACTGTATACATACATACATGTATCTTGTTACTTGTTATTATTGATTGATGGTTGCTACTAATGCTTGCCTTATCCTTAGTTTCTTCTTCTCTTTCACTTTAACATTTTGCCTTGTTGATATGTTGATCACGTTATACTTTGAGGTATGTGCTGTGTTCAGTTGGCCAGCATGTTTACACAATGTCTCTGCATAATAATTTGTGAAGTATCGTAGTGAAATCAGGCGCTCGTCATAATAGTGAAATTGAAGATTCCAGCATTTTTCAGCTGGATCTGGCAATAAATTTTCATCAAATTTTTACATTTTTGGTCCATATTTCTGTGTGGATTTTACTGAAAACAGTCATTAAAGCACAGAAAATGTAAATTTTCAATTTCTAAGGACTCTGAAGCTATGGAAATCAGCAAACTCTGGTGATCATTTTCTCGCTACTGTTGGTTCTGAATGCAGGCAAATTCCACCTCCTTCAATTGCAAATATCTAGACTTCTATTCAATATAGATGGGTATTTTTCCATGGAAAGATAGACAAATGAGCAAGCTTTAGAACGATACCAGTAACTCTACGTGCCTAAAAATTAACAAGCACCTGGTTCCACTACGTCATGACACATTTAGTTTTAGATTTTGTTTAAGTGGTCCATCTTGTCATGGCCACAGCATACTGTTCTCTTGGTATAGACTCCCCCCCCC